TTGAGGATCCCTGAGTCCAAGTAACCAAATCCCGAAAAATGGTCTGTGTGTATCTGAACAATCTAGCTCGAAACCGAAAAGTCGTACGAAACTGATATTACAAGTTTAAGATAGATATATGCCTTAGATGTCATAGCAATTTTTTCCTTAAAATCGGCAAACCGGAAGTGCCACTTTATATCAACGGTGAAACACATTTTTACAATTTGCTCTAAAACGGCTCTAACGATTTTGATTATACTCGGTGTATCATTGTATAATTAAGTAGTCTTTAAGATCATTTAGGTCTTATCCCTATTGATGTCACTTTACAGGGCTTAAGTGCCCAATGTTCATATATACGGCTTCTTCTAAAGTACCTTTAATATGGTTTATTTTAAATAATTAATCATCTTATTTTATCAGTTTATTTTAAATAATTAATCATCTCATTATTCAGAGTAACAAAAAAAATACTTCGAAAATGAACCTCCGGAAATACTAGTGAGAAGGTATACCTATAATATATCGTTGGAAAGCGAAGAATTTTAGAAAAAGCTATATCTAATACCACTAGTGGATCCAGGATTTAATTTTGTGAGAGGCTTCAGCCTGGTAGTTTTTTTTTTTCATATATATAACGATAATTACTTTGGAAAAACAGAAAAATACTAGCTATCAATATGGTATGGTGATTCTTGAAGTCCTATTATATGTAATTAAACGAGCAATAATACTTTAAGACATAATTTTTTGATATTTTTTACCATAAAACATAGTTACATTTTACCATTTTGGGGGTGGCTTCAGCCCGAAAGCCCTCCTCCCCCCCGTAAATCCGCCTGTGCCTAATACAGAAAGTTGTAGATAGTAACGGAGAGGGAAAAAATTATCCGTATCCGTATCCGTACATATATTATTACAGTAAGGCTCGAAATCGGTTTTGTACCAAATATAAGCTCCTGTCATGCTCAAATACCATGAATTGGGGTACCGTTGGATTCAGAATTTCACGGGGGGTTAGCGAATCGTATTCTCCACTTTTGTTTTTCTTTATAAAATAAATAAAATCGATACAAACATTTTGCTAGGCTGCAATACCTGAACAGTGGTAGGTCTGTAGATCGATACGGGATAAATTGGATGTAGAAGATTTTGATGGGTACATCAATGTCCTTCGGAACTATCGGGTCTTGCGTTTTTAAGCCCAAAAACCCGGGCTTTTCTAAAAACCGGGGCCGGGGGGTTCCGAGATAACGCAAGGCATAGGGTTCGAATCCACACAACCTTACATTAATTGTAGTACTGTCATTGAATACATGTCTCATTTCGTCGACTTGAGGTCTCTATGATCGAGAGAGGAGGAGTTTATATTATTTATCGATGGTGTTTTTGATCGGCAAACCATATCATCGTCAATTTTTCACCAAATCTCAAGATTGAGCCACCAATTTCGAAGGCTTCCTTCTCCTTCAGGCGGACACAATAATCCAATCACCCTGAAAATTCAGGCAAACAAGTTATAAAAGAAAACAAACTTTATTTGCGAATAACTAAAAAATTACACACTTTTTCCTTGGTTATGCCCGTGATTATATAAAAGATTAATAATTTCCCTACAAAAGGAAAAGAAAAATCATGGAAATCGGACAATTTTTAGCAAAGATACAGCTTACTGAAATATGTAAACATGTTGGTTCCAAACAAAAATGAAAATTTAAATTAATTTTTGTTTCCTTTGTCGATTATATTTATCGATAAAGTAACATTTGATTTCTTTATTTTTTGATAGGTTGCATTATTTTATTTTCTTATTAATCTGGCATTTGATAACAATATGCTGTGGGAATTTTTCCCAAGGTTCAACTAGTAAATAATAATTTTTGAAAACTATTATTATTTAACATTAATCACATTTTTCCAAGGAAATTAAATGCAATTTACTAACTAAATGTAAACTTTTAAAATATATATAAGTTTGAAAAATTATTTAAAATCCACCTAACCAAGGCAATACCATTGTTTAAAAAACTATTTCATTGTATTTGTGGGAAATAGAATAGAAAAATAATTTTATTCTGGGACGAAGTCCCTTCAGAATAACAAAAAAGTACAGAAATTAAAATTTTACATCTGGCCAGATAAAAACAAACATAACAAATTAAGATAATGATAGGTCATTAAAGAAAAGAAAAGAAAAAAAATATTGGTTATACATACTATATACAAAATAAAATAAAAAAATCTATATAAAAAACTCTTGAAACCATACTAAGATACTTAAAACTATGTACGATGTTAAAATATAAATAAACCCTTTTAGAAAAAATAAAAAATACAGAAAAAATAAATGTATATTCTTCTTAACAGTAAAATCTGTTTCTGTTGAAAAAGAAAAAAAAAAAAAAAGAGAAAAAGAAAGTCGAGTCTATAATAAGTATTCAGGTCATGAGCTATATGTGAATATGGTCTTATAGATAATGTGTAATTTTACATAAAAGATTAGCTGGTGCCTGACTGTTTTTGGGACAGGAATTGGAATAGGAGGGTTTTGAATGTAGATAAGGATGAAGAATGTCGAATTTTGATAGGAAGGGAATTCCAGAAACTAACAGAACGTGCAATAAAGGAGTTTTGGAACGAGGCAGATCTGTGAGAAGGAATGTAAAGGTCGGAAGGTCGAGATCTTGTGGAGAGGGAGTGGACTGAGGACTTGAATTGGAGAAGGTTGTAGGCGTAGGAAGGACGATGATTGTTGATGATATGATAGAGGAATGTACCTAGGAAATATTGTCTTCGAATGGAGGGGAAGAGCCACTCAAACTCAATGTAATGGTGAGAGACATGGTAGTATCTCGGGGCACCAGTTACAAATCTCACGCAACTGTTCATTATAAAATAAGAAGTGAAATATCAAATAATTTCATGGATGTATAAAGCATATGTTTATAACCTTAAAAATACATTTACTGTAGATTAATAATTCTAGATCTGATAATTATATTTAAATAATCAGGAATCAATGTCCGTTTATTCCAAAAAATTATCAATGTAACTTTTTAGACAATTAAATTAGTGAACAATTTGATGAATTTTCCCTTTGTGAAATCCCAACATGTCATCCTCTAAAATACCTTTAATTTGGTTTATTATAATTAATAACTATTTATCATTGTTAGGAGTCATGGAAAAAAGCTAAATATAACTTTTGCAAGAATTTGATAATTAAATAAAGGAGAAAAAATAAAAACTTATCCAGTTTGAAAATGAATATCTGGAAATAATAGTCAAAAGGTATATGTATAAAATATTGTTCGAAAGAGGAGAATTAAAAAACCAATATATAATATAGAAAATTGTAGAAGGTAACAAAGAGTGACGGATAAAATATAAATAATAATTTCTAAAAACTAACATTATTTAACGTAAATCAGGTGTTTTCAAGGAAATTTTCTTACTAAATGTAAATTTAAAAAAAAAATTTAAGTTAGATAAAGTATTAAAAACCCATAGATTCTAGGCAATGACATTGTTTAAGATACTATTTCATTGTAAGAAGTGAAATATAAAAATATTACATTGATACATTTATAACTTTAAATATATTATTTACTGTAGTTTAACTACTCTAGATCTGAAATTATATTTAAATAATTAGGTATCAACGTCCCTTTATTCTGAAAAATAATCATGTGACCTTTTAGAAAATTAAATTATTGAATAATTTGATGAATTTTCCCTTTGTGATATTCCCACAGATAAACTTACAGTGTGATAACTTTTGACTTTTCTATAACACACTATGAAAATCTCTTTAGTTCTGTTTTAGTAAACTTTGCAATGGAAAATAAGTTTAATAACTAAGGTAATATAATAAATAGGACTTTTGTTATTTTAATGGTATTTATGATTTTGTAATCTTTTAGCTTTAGCTCAGTTAAAAATTTTATAATTCCTACATTATAAGTCAGAAAATAATTTCTATTCAAAGTTGAGTTGCATGGTCCAAATTTTTTATGTTATGTAATAACAATTACTCACCAACAGTTAATTGATAAGAGCCATTTTATTATTATTTTTATATATATTTGTTTTATACCTACATGCCAGACTGATGTACACATTTTTTTACCTCTGCTGTTAATTTAAGGAGACTTAAGTCTTAATAAGACTTAAGTCCCAGAATAAAATAGTTCTGATTTCATATTACTATCTTTGAATGTAAACTAAAATTTCATTAATAGGGATATAGGGCATGAAAAAATACTAGCATACCTACTTAAATGCCATAAGCAGGGGTTCTATCAGCTTAGCCATCTAGTCGAATTTTTCTATTTTCTTAGTTGATTTTGGTATATATATTTCATTCATTCATGTACATTAATAGCTATGGATTTTGGTTATATTTTTGTTCTGCTAAATATTGGGTGGTGAGGGTGGGCAGGGCGAAACTATATTCTAGCCCCCTCTATTTTTATTGGAGGCGATCATCTCTCTGGATCTTCCGAATTTTGCACCATTGGTTAGCTTTTATTACCTGTTGCAAGTGACTCAGCCTTTTCAGCTTATAATGTAAATAAAAAGTATTAATCAAAATTAATTGTTTAATACAATTAATCATTTCAATTGAATTAATAATGATAAAAATGATGTGTAATAACTTTTTCCAAGGGAAATTTTTTTCTCATCTTCATGGGAGAGGGGAGGGCGCCTCCCCATGGATTTGTTACTGTACTATCTATTGTAGTACACTTAAAAATATTGGACCTGAACCCAAATACTTCAGAGTTAGATTTAAAAATTGTTTAACAATAGAGTATAGCCATGTTTCATTAATTACGGTCAGAGCACCTGTATCTAGCTGCAATAATTATTTATTAAATATGAAAAAAGGGCAAATATCCTATTTATTTAATAAATTAGAATTATAGAGGGGAAGAGGCAGGTAAAAATTTTCAGCCCATAGTGCCAGCTAAAATGTTGTAAGATAGATAGTATTAAACTAATATTGTTCTTTACAGATGTCAAATAAGAACCCTACATCAGCAAGTTGTGAAAACTTAATTATTACTGTAACTATGAAAGGAGAATGCAAAAATGTTATTGACTGTAATGTTACAAGAACTAATCTTGACATAAGAAGCCCTATGTACAGGTTAAATTTACCTTTGCCTCATCCTATTGATCCAGATTCAGCAACAGCAGAATGGCATAGCTCTTCATGTCAACTAATCATAAGCTTGCAGATGAAGAGGGAATATGACTTCATGAACTTTTAGAAAATAAAGGATTTAAGTTGAACTGACTATATTTATATAACAATGTCTACATATATAAGTACATTTTACATTGTACACTCAATATGTATATATATATATATATATATATATATATATATATATATATATATATATATATATAAATTTTTATGCATATATTTATTTATTTATATATATATAAAAAAAGTAAAAATATGTTTAAAAAGTTCCAGATAAATAACAGAAAAGGAGTATAACTACATGATTTGAAAGTAATTTTTATTAAGAAAGAGGCTTTATTTTTTAATGACACAAAAACAATGAGTATGACTCTAGCTTGTGCAAGAAAAGTGACAATTATGTATGATGTAATTTTATTAACAAATTTTCATTCACTATACATAACATGTCCCAATTTAGAACATAACATGTTAATAATACATTTTTCGATTGTACTTTATATTTATAAGGTAGGCACACTTTATAACTTACAAAATAAATAAAAATGAAACAATGCCTCTTTGAAAATCAATAATAAATATTAATTAGATTTTAATCTAATCTTCATTTGGTTTGGAGAATAAACTATTTATTTAAGCAGGAAATGTAATGACCTAAGCTACATAAAATTAATGATATAATACTTATGTAATACCTCTATTCAGACTAAAAATTATGCTTCAGTTACGTATCCATAATTATGATGCTGAAGCATAAAACTTAGTCTTAACTGTGGTGGTTGTGTAAAATAAGAGTTGCAATATGAATAATATATCTGAGAAAACATGGAACAATTCTGAACTTATATAATACAATTTACAACAGGGATGCCACCACTATTGTTGTGATGTATAAAATTTTCTTGATAATATGCATCACACACTTCCTTCTTGATAATTAAATGCACAAACAATGCCGACGATGATAATTGATAAATACATCCCAGTCTTAGTCGCACGGCATTTACTCTAAAAGACTAAGCTTTTTATTTACAATGTTCTAATCTACTACGAGCAGAGACTTAAATATCTGTCCCCTTCACCTTGTTCTAATTCACTTTACAAGTCATACGTTCACATATACACATAATTTTAGGCTAAGAAGCTTTTAATTTATATTTACAAGCTGCTTTTAATTGTTTTTTTACTTTTTGTCATTTAATTTTTTTACACACCGTATTTATACAATGGGATTATAACTAAATCGAAATATAAGATGGAGCTGTCTTTGTTCAAATTAATGTTGAAATACTAAAAATACTGTGACAGCACACAACTTATTTTCAATAGAACTACTTCCTTATTTATTATCAGGCTTTTTAACACATGGGAATAATATCCAGATCACAAATAACTAAAATACAAATAAAATTAAAAAGGAATCAAAGGAATCTGACCAAGGTTCCAATTAAAAAAAAAGTACAAAAAATACAAATAGCAAAATCAACAAATGTTACCAAGTCGATTCAAAAGTGAATGCTATCACAGTTTAGACTCTTACAAATACAAACAATTGGTTGAAAAAACAAATTAGTGCATTACTTGTTCATGTTCAAGCTAACACAACACAACAGCGTAAAACACTTAAAAACACACAAATGCAAACTAACAGATAAAACATAAAAATAAAAAGCATAGTAACAAAAACTGACTATAAGAATAACATTAAATTTGTAAGGACAAAAAATAATTTATTTTAGAAAATAGACACTACAGCAATAAAATTACATTAGTATATACATAAACATAAGTTTTTTAAAAATTATGAAATTTTAATTGATAAGATAATAAATAATTTTTGTGCTGTATAATCTATTTTCATAAATTTGTAAGTCTTTTGCTGTTGGTCATGAAATAAGCGTAATGTAAAAACATTGAACTATAAGCTATATAGTTCAGTGTTCTAAAGAACCATAATTTCAATCTAATGCACCAGTGTTTCTTAACAGCACACTTTACCTACTTTCACTTCAATTAATTTCCATGTAAATTATGAACCATATAAACAGACTTTAATTTATCTTTAAAAATATATACAAAATCCTGTTATATAATGAATTATTTCTTCAGACAAGGCATAATGTGTTAATTTGACCATGGAAAAGAGGCAAAAATATATGTGCATACCATAAAGACACATATTTCTCTTTTGCAAGAAACAAAAGTGGAATGGGGCCATTATGCCTCTGTTAAGGGTGGCTGTTCTTGCTGCTGCTCAAGAGAAGCTGCTCTTTGTCGAGCAGCTGCTGCTGCAGCAGCCCTTCCAGCACTGCTTCTAAGATTTTTCCTTTCTACAACATCACTAATTGGGCTTTTTTTCGCCCTGACCTTTTTTTTCTTACTATTTATATTATTATTACTTCCTTCTTCTTCTTTCATAGAATCAGTAGTGCTGTCTTCATTTCCAACAACTATATCTTCTTTTTCACCTACATCTTCAGGTGTGGGATCTAAATGAGGAGGGGGATCAGGAGGTTGTTCTTGGATAGTTGTAAGAGTTGGAGTCTTCAGGGTTATTTCTTCATTTATTGATTCTTCTACATCACTCTTCATTTTTTTATTAATTGAATGATCTTCAGGTACTGGCGTAGATTCTCTTGTTCTCTTTGCACCTTTATCTTCTTTAGAAGATTCTTGGGACTGTGATATCCTCATAAATAGCTCTGTGGGACTCTTACTTAATGATTCTAAAGTTTCTTTCATTTCTTGTTCCCTAATTTTATTTGTATAACCAGGAACTCCTGCCATCAAATTACGAAGACTATCAACATCTTTGGATTTAATAAATGGCTGCTGCTTCTCTCTTCCCTTGGTTGCAGATGCTGCTGCTCTTGATAAACTTTCTAAAAGATGGGTATCTTGAGGTAGCATGAACTGTTGTGATAGTGGTGTTCTTGCTCCTGTTCTTTGGTTAGTTGAAGATGATGACTGAGTAGAACATAATGAATTAGTAATTGTAGATGAGGTTCTACTAGCTAATGATGTACAACTAGCATTGGTTGTCTTTATTCCTCCTCTATTTGCTGTTGAAGAGGCAACAGAAGTGTTGCAACCTAGAGTTCCATTCAGAAGAGCAAGGCTGTCATAAGTGTTTGTACTTCCAGGTGCAAATGGATTGAGTCCTCCTAAGCCTAATGGTGAATACAATAAATTAGGGTTGGGAAAAAAAAATGGAAGTGAACTTGGTAAATTAGATGAGGCCGATGATACAGGTGTTTTTGAAGGAGTATCAGGTTTTCTTAATTTGGCTGCTTGCTTAGAAGTACTTGCTCCAACATTTGTAACAGAAGTTGTACTATCAGTCATTGCCTGTGAATTAGGATCCATGCCTGACAAACCTGGTAAACCTAGTCCAGCAAGGTTTGCAAAAAGTGAACTTGTTAAATTAACATTGCCAAGCCCACTCATACTACTTAAAACACTCATGTTAGGCATACCACCAAATGGCAGTAAAAGTGGGTTTTTCGGATCAAATCCTCCAATAGAGAGACCGCTGAGCAAGGATGAAGGATTGATTCCACTGAGTGATGGAAAAGGTAAATTAGAAGGTGTACTGACTGGAGGTGAGGCTCCAGGTGGGCTTGAAAGTAGTGGTGGTCTGCCTGGTCCTTTCTTTCTATCACCAGGAGGTAGCCGTTTCTGAAGATCGTGAGGTAAATTTCCTCTCTCCTTAACAAGTTCTGCCCATTTAGGATCAACATCAAACATTGGATTTTCCAGTAACCATTGTGCAAGGCGTTTGAGCTGTGGAGCCTTGGAACCAGTCAACTAAAATAACAATATATATTTTTAGAAGAATATTATTGGCTAATAGTATCCACACAATTAAAACTGCAAACATTTGTATTACCTTTTTACCAGTTATTCTATTTATCACAGATACATTTTCTTCACCAGTTAATTTCTTCCAGTCTAATAAGGTGGGATCTACCCTAGGTCTCCTTCTTCTAGGTGTCAAGAAATCAGCTGACAATGGTTGTTCAGGCATAACTCCACTTTGTTCTGCTAGCCATTTGTTAACCTTTAAAATGTGACATTAAATTATTGTAACTAATATCATATCATATATATAATCAAACCACACATTTCTACATTGCATTTTTTTCCCCTTGCCTTTTAGGCTGTATTTCCGGGCCAGGGATTAATGCCAGAGTTCTTTTAGGCTATACAGAGTATTTACGGCCCAGGAATCAATGCCAGAGTTAAAAGCCCCTCCCGGCACAGGGATGTGAACTCAAAATTATTCTTATCAAATTATATTATATCAGGTTGCTGGGCAACGTGGTGCTGTGCACACGCATTAGCCTGCTCAGCCGTCCCATTTCTACATTACTTGCAAGGTATTCAGTGATACAGCATGGAAAAAATATGAGCATGATTCAAGGTTCTGTATGCTGTAAAATTCAAGGTACTTTTTATCCACTTTAGTGGATTAATTTAAAAATAAAATGGGAATCATAAAATGTAGTATTTATTTGGATTTAATAAATGTATGTTTTAATAATAATAATAATAAGGCTTAGCGAACCCGAAGGTTCGATGCCGACACCACCAATCGCTTGTTACACACCTCCCTCCACCGTTCGCCGTCCAAACCCAGTCCCTTCAGATGGGCTTTAATGCAATCCTCCCATCTTCGCTTCGGTCTACCCCTCGGACGCTTACCATTCGGCACAGCAAATATTAACCTTTTAGGAATTCTCTCGTTACTAAGCCCAACAACTTTACAAGCCCATTTGATTCGCCGCGATGAAATTACCTCAATTATATTACCCGGATACATCTCACGCAATTCGGCGTTGTGTAACCGTCTGAACTCTCCGGTTAACTCATCCTTTTTCGGTCCGAATATTCTACGCAATACTTTATTTTCAAAAACCTTAAGACGCTGCTCATCCCTTAATGTAAGCGGCCAAGTTTCGCATCCATAAAGAACTGTAGGTAAGATAATTGTTTTATAGATTCTAATTTTTAAGTTTCGGGACAAGAGGCGCGAACTAAGTAGTTTTGTCACAGAAAAATAACAAGCGTTCCCCGCCTTCAGTCTAACCTTAATCTCTTCTTCAATTTCGTTTTTTCTAGTTATCGTAGAACCTAGATACCTAAATTTATCTACCTGTTCAAACATATTACCATCTATATCGATACCACCAGTAGTATCGCCATTTTTGCAGCTAACCATATATTTTGTTTTATCCACGTTTATTTCGAGTCCTAGTTCTTTCCCGGCTTTCATTAACGTTGTCGTATTCAGTTTTATAGTTTCAACGTCATCGCTTAACAGTACCAGATCATCAGCATAGCCCAGCACGGATGTTGTCCCGCCCAGATCCAACCCTTTCTCGGTTCGCATTACCTCCCTAATGGCATGTTCTAATGCCAAATTGAACAGGACAGGCGAAAGAGAATCACCCTGTTTTAAGCCCGAACGAACCTCAAATTTTTCGGACAAATTATTACCAATTCTAACTTTATTGAGTGTCTCCGTCAAGCACATCCTGACTAGATTTACTAGTTTTTTTGGAATCCCCTGCTCGATTAGAATATTATACAATTTCTGGCGATCAATAGAATCGTAAGCCTTTTTAAAATCTATATACAGCTGGTGAACAATACCGTTATACTCCAATTTTTTCTCTAATATTTGCCGTAAAGAAAATATTTGATCAATAGTCGAACGATTCCGTCTAAATCCGCATTGGTAGTCTCCGATAATTTCCTCGGCGTATTCCGTGATTCGACTGGTTAAGATTAAAGTGAATATTTTATAACATACCGGAAGGAGTGAAATTCCTCGATAGTTATTACAATCCGTCCTCGGACCCTTTTTGTGAATCGGAATAAGAATAGATTCTTTCCATTCTTCAGGTAATTTCTCGTTCACCCAGATCTTTCTAACCAACCGATGTATTTTAGAAACTCCAGCTTCTCCGCATGCCTTAATTAGTTCAGTAGGAATATTATCGATTCCCGCTGCTTTATATGATTTTAATTTTCCGATAGCTACTTCAACTTCCTCTTTAGTTGGTCCTTCTATTAACGGTTCAGCACTCTGGTACTCAGAAGGAGGACACAGATCATAATTTCCCGTATTTAAAATATTGTCAAAGTGGTCCTTAAACTTATTCAATATGTCAACCGGATCGGTCAGAATATTGTTATTATCATCCCTAATTCCAGACGTTACGGGCCCTACATATTTACGTGATCTGTTTATACCTTTGTACATGTCTCTTACGTTATTTTCGATTCTATTAGTTTCTATTTCAATTATTTTATTTTTAAGATACTCCCTTTTTTTATTTTTGAGCAATTTTGTCGTTTCGTTCTTTGAGATTCGGAAGTATTCCAGATTGTCTTCGCTAGGATTATTTAGAGCTTTTAATTTAGCGGCTTTTCTTTTTTCACACATGTTTAAGCAATCTTCATCAAACCACGGTTTGTTATTCTTATTTTCCTTTTTTCCTAGACACGAGTTACCGACCGCTTTAATATTATCTCTGATCTCTATCCATAACTTGTCAATATCCTCGTGGTCCTCGTCAGGAAGCTCTAAAGCTTCAAACCTATTCTTAACATCTAGCTCGAATTGGTTTCTAATTGATGGATTTTTTAATTTTTCCAAATTAAAATTCTCAAAATCGAAACGGTTTTCTTTTCTCTTTTTTATATTAAGTTTTTGTCGAAGTTTCGCGATTACTAATTCATGATCCGACCCACATTCTGCTCAGCGATAAGACCGTACATTAATTATACTACTTTGCCAGCTGTGTTGTATCAAGACATGATCGATTTGATTTCGTGTTTGCGAATCCGGTGATGTCCAAGTATATTTATGAATATCCTTATGTTTAAACGTCGTACTTTTAATTATCAGGTTTTTCGAGATGGCAAAGTTTATCAGACGGATCCCATTATCATTACTATATTCGTGCAAACTTTCTTTACCAATCGTCGGAATATAAACTTCTTCCCTTCCTACCTTTGCGTTCGCGTCACCTACAATTATTTTCATGTAGTTTCGTGGTAGTTTATCATAAACCCATTCGAGTTTATCGTAAAATTCACTTTTGACTTCATCGTCACTGTCTTCGGTCGGACAATGTATGTTTATTAATGCGATTTTAAACCAACGTCCCTGAAAAAATGTATGTTTTAGACTAGAGAATAAATTAAACAAATTAAAAATTAATTAACAAATTAACAAATTAAACAAATTAAAAATGTATGTTTTAGACTAGAGAATAAATTAAACTTCTCAAATCATGCCCTCAAAAAAAAAAAAGAAGAAATCTAAGCATAGAAACAATAATTTAAGATAAACATAATAAAATATGCACAATAGCCCAGCCATATGGCCAAACTACCTTTGAAATAATTATGCCTAAAACTTAAATGCATGGTAAAGCCTTTTCTCTTAATAACACTAGCCAACAGCAAAAATGTTTTCAGATTGAAATTAGCAAATTTGTATTCCATTTTGGTAACAAAAAAAAATAATTTAACCTTTAAAAAGTTTATTGACCTCTTATGAAAATATATAATTCAAGTATATATATTTATCTTTTTTTGTTTAATTAGTAATTTTTATTGTGCAATTGGCATACCTGCCTGGGACTACAGTCCTCTAAGAATAATAACAGTTACATAATTACGTACATTAGTCTGGGCTATTTTATACAAAATGATGCTTAATTAACTATTAATTGCAATTGCAGTTGCACAGTTGATTGAATTATACAGGGTACAGAAGCAAGTGAATTTCATGAATTGAAGGATTTGCTGAAAGAAGTAGTTTCATGGGAGAGGATTTATAAATTTATAGGTTGAGATCTGGTATTGAGTGGATAGAGGAATGTAGAGTAAGGAGTTCTAGGATGTAGCGAGGGTTTTTGGTTCTGAGGACTTGGAAAAGGAAAACACCAAGAAGGAATTGCCGTCGGATAAAGCCACTTCAGCTCAGTGTACTACCAGGAAATATGAAAACATCTGGGGATGCCGAAGATGTATCTTACAAGAGTCTTTTAATCTATTAAATGTATGTGTTTTTCATGGAATATGGAATGGAGAGTTATGAAATATGAAAATAAATCCTCTTTACAACAAATTCGAATGGACCAGTAATTTATGAGTTCAGAATAAAAACTTAAAATGTTACAAACAAAAATAAAATAAAGAAAGCTCCACTGGTCACACCTCTATGATAATATAAACTTTTGAAATAGGTGTTTCTTCATGTTATTTTTTATTTATAATTTTTGGCACCATAAACCAAATAAGAAATAAAGAAGGTTGACACTGAACATTTCTGTAACTTGAACGATACTCCTACTTGGCAATTTTTGGGCTAATTGGACTGAACTATAAAAGAAGGAAATTCATGAATGAGTTGTTATAATATCGAAACAAATAAATTTTAAAAATAATAAATAAAACTAATTAATTACCTTAGCTTCATGGGAATATGAGCTAATTTTGGCTGAAAAATCAGCGACTTTGGAAATATCAGCTATCATAGCTTCATATGTTTTCCGTTGCACTTGCGCAGCAGCTGCTGTTGTAGGTTGAGACATTTTTAAAGCTTGCTGTTGCTGAAGTATCTGTTGTTGAAGTTGCTGTTGCTGCTTTAAAAGTAAACTATGCTGCTCTGCCAAATAAGAGGTATCAGGAGGTTTATTGGAGGGTGAGGGACTACTATTAGATGAAGGAGGACCACGTGATGGAGGTTTGTTTGAAAGTGTTAGAGTTACACTAGGAGGAACAGTTTTCTTTTCTGACATTTGTTCTTTAGCAGCAGATAACCCAAGCACAATTTCATCTAGCTTCCTTCTTTTTTTTTCTTTGCCAACCAATGGCTCTTCAACAGGCTGTAATATAAATAAGTTAACAAATATTAGGCTTTCACTAAAACAAATTTAAGAAAGAAAATGTTTTCTTTTAGAACCACACAATAGTCTCCCTAATGCAGACCCTATTCATACAGACATGTGGTTAATCTGGATGTAATTAAAAACATATCGGAAATTTGACCCGATTGCAATACTTTCCTTACTTAGTATAGGTATGAAAGTAATAATTAAATTTACTACTTATGCTAATAAATATAATTTAATGAACTAATTACAATTTATTAAACTAAAAAGAATTATACAAAAGAAAAAAAGTAAAAAGAGCTTTAGTATGTTTGATTGTAGAACATTTGAGACTTCTTCAGTGAGTCTAAAAATATTATTCTTGTTTTCATTAATTACAAGTATATGGCCTTATTTTAAGATCCTGTTCAGAATCGAATATCAAATAGTTTTAAAATTTGATCTTAAAAACACGTAATAAGTAATTTTGCAATCGGTGGTCACTTAGTTTAGGCTGTCTGTCATCCTAACAAACCCGATATTGCTTAACTTCAACTACCTATTGCAAGCTCCTTAGCCTGCTTCGCCCCCTTTGTCCTCTAATACTCAACTATTAAAACATTTTAATATCACAATTGATTGTTTAACACAATTAACTTTTCTATCAAGGTAATAATAATAATAGTCTCTGTTGTGTTATAACTTTTTCAAGAAACTTTTTTTTCTAATTTTCTATGGAAGAGTGTACACAAAACCCCCACCTGGTTCTGCTAGTGGTAAATAGTGTAAGTTACTTTATTGCTGAATAATTTCAGCAGGTTCTTTTTAAGCAAAATTACGTTCAAATTTCGGTTAATAGAAGCACCTTTCGTTTTCATGAAGATGAAACAGCTTACCACATCAGTTGCGACAGGTTCGCACAGAGACTATGCAAAGGCTATTTGGGATGGATCGTTAGCTTAATCCGAAGAACTGTGAGCATATCAAATCAACAAGTCCTTTACAGTTTACTAATACAGCCAAACTAAAGTTTTTAAAGAAACAGGGGTAAAAATCAGTAACAAGTTTTATCATTGGAGGCTAGAGTATAAGGTTAGGCACTGGTAATGGGGACCGCAATAATTCTTTATATTTTACCATTGCTATTTTTGTTTTTCGCAAACCCACATACATACATTCAACTTATTCTATTAATTTCCAAATTTTCGTTACTTAAATAATTAATTCTACCACTAGATTAATAAATATCGTACAGAAATGTTTGGAAGCCACAACTCCGCCACAGAGGCCACTGTTCCCCACCTATTGTATAGATCACGTAGGAGACTTACATTGAGAAATAATGAAAGCTTGGTTTGTGTATAAGATTAATCAATAAATGTATAAAGAATAATCACTGGTAGCCATTGTTATTATTCTAATAAACGGGAAAACAGATCATTAGTAGTTACAGTTTACAGCTGTTTTGATTATTATTTTTGTTTCCTTACTACCAAAAGTTGTACAAAACTGAAATTTCATATTTAAGGTTTTTACATGCTAGGGATGTTACAGTAACATTTTCGTCACAATCGACTGACCGTAAGTGGCACTTTATATCATGGGCTTAACACATTTTTACAATTTTCACGGAAACTATAACAATTTTGATTAAATTAATTATATCAGTGTAAAATTAAGCAGTTTTAAATAAAATGTAGTTTTTATTCTGATTGATGTTCTTTAACAGGGCTTAAATGGTTAATTTTCAATATCAGCTTCCTCTAAAGTATCTTTAATTTGTTTTATTTGAAACAATTGACTATTTCACATTAATGTCTAATATAAAAGATAGTTAAATATAAAATATGAAATTATTTGATAATTAACTAAAGAAGAAATAAAAATCGTAGCGGTAAATAGTTGTAATCGATCACATTCAAGCTCGCCAAAAGATTATAACAGGCTTCCATACGTAACATGAGTTTAATATAATATGGACTCCAAAAATGTTATATAAATATTCATTAGCGGTTTTCATAAATGCTATTCTTGGTATTATTTAATTATATACATTACACTGATATAAATATTAAAATTTGTATATATAAGGGTACTTATACAAATAAAACTACCAACAATGAAATATAAATAATTATAGCATCTATAATTTTTACTTTCCCTTCTCTTTTGTCTGAAAATACTTATTTCTACTAAGAAGAGGGAGGTAAGTGAAAGTTGTCTGATGTGCACACCGCACCAGATTTTTATGTATCAGATATCAAGGATCAAATTTGGTTTGGTATCTGTCTAGTCTAATAGATTATGTAGATTGGTATGGTTAGGCATATCACCTACTACCATTAATCCGATTTTCATGAAATTTTCAGGGATGTGCGGGTTGGTGTCTAGATGGTCCGATATCAATTTCCATCCAACACTTCCACTCCATAGGCAAAAATATATTTTCATAGCCATGCCAATATTTCAGAAAGGGCTCGTTTGATTTGACTTAAATTTAGAATAAAGATAGGTATTGGAAAAAAAATGATGCTACATCAATTTCAGCGAATTCCATCCACTATTGTTATAGTTTGAAAATGGCTGGTTTGATTTGACCCAAAGTTGAAGATAATGATAATGTACAAATTCTCTAGTATCAATTTCATTGAATTCTATTCAACATTTAAAATTAATATAAATAACATTTTAAAAATATAATGGCTGTGAAATGTGGAAGGCATTGATCATGTGACAGGGAGGTTATGTTTAAGTATTGTTTTATGGGAATATAAAATTTTAAACTGTATTTAATAAGATAATTTAAACTATATGTTTTGTTGTTTACATATTACTGGCATGACACCAACTGCCATTACTTGGATTTCATGTAATTGAGTGATTATGATTGTTGAAACTTCGACGGTGCACTATAAATTTAGTCGAATCCTATCCACAGCTTTCGTTTAGACATGCTATTTTCTTTTCGTATCGTATATTTATAAATTTAAATTGAATTTTGCACAGTAATAAATAACGTCACATTTGTGAGTTTATTCCTTTTCAAGTTCAACCAACTGGTTGTGGTCTCGATTTCCCTCTCAAACTTTAAAGTAATAAAGGGCTTTATTCCAAATCTTTTTGAGCTAGTTATGGTTGAAGTGTAAGATGTAAGCATCGGTAAGTGTAAAGCATGTATAGGCCTTAATTTCCTTCTTTCTAGCAGAATAGGATTTGGCATAAAATCTTAAGGCCATAAAAAAAAAAAAAAACACAATTTTTTGTTGAAGCTACAAATTTTCCATTAATATTTAATAAAGCAGTACATAATAACTAACATATTAAGAGAAGAAGTTGTGTAAGTATTTAATTTGAAAGTAAATTCGTTTAGTTTTATTGATTTAACTTGATAGAAAATCAATACTATCACGTAAAATCATAAGGCCATAAAAAAACAAAAAAAAAAAAAAAAACACTTATTTAATGTTGAAGCTACAAATTTTCAATTAGTAGTTAATAATTCAGTATATAATGATTACAACTACATATTAATATAAGAAGTCATGTCTGTATTTTAATTTGGAGGTGAATATGTTTAGTTTTATCAATTTAACTTGGTAGAAAATCAATACTTTTCGCATAAAATCTTAAGGGCATAAAAATTAAAAAAAAAATCTTTATTTTATGTGGAAGCTACAAATTTTCCATAAATAATTCAGTATATAATGATTACAACTACATATTAAGAGAAGTTGTGTCAGTATTTAACTTGAAACTAAATTTGTTTAGTTTTATTGATTTAACTTGATAGAAAATCAATACTTTTATGTAAAATCTTAAGGCCATAAAAAAGCCAAAAAAAAAAACACCCTTATTTTATGTTGAAGCTGCAAATTTTCTATTAGTAGTTAAGTCTGTATTTTAATTTGGAGGTGAATTTGTTTAGTTTTATTCATAGATGGACATCATCATAATCCATGATTATAATAAAAAAGAACATAATTATTTGATTACATACATGGTAGTAATCATAATCACGGTTTTTTATTTTGATTATAATCGTGTAATCATGTAATTGTATTTATAATCATTGTTATCATAATCATAATAAAAAAATCAAATACACATGATTTCCCTCTGTTTAGAGATACACTGTGTGGGTGAAAATGGAGAATTGGTGTAGAAAATTTTCCAAATTTTAATTCACTTTTCCACCATTCCAACAATTTTATAACTGTTTAGAAATAAGGCAGTGGAGACAAGAGTGGAAAAAATTTTCCTCTTTTATATCGGGAATCAGGTTTTCACTGTTTCAACAGTTTTCTGGCTATGTAAAGGTAGGTGAAAACGGAAAAATGATGTACAAAATTTCCGAATTTTCGTATGTTTTTCCTCTTTTATCTCGTAAAGGAATGATTGGTTTCTTACTCTTCCAAACATTTTTCAGTTATGTAGAGGTAGGTGAAAAAAAAGAAAATGGTGTAAACATGTTTCTAAATTTTCATTCTCTTATCCTTTTTTATCTCCAGAATAAAGGAACGATTCATCAATGCTCCAACAATTTACCGGCTATGTAAAAGTAGGCGAAAATGTGGAAATGGTGTAATCATTAATGGATAATGAAATTTTGATTAATCCTTTAAAAGTTTTCTATGTATGTACAGTAAGTAACATTTGTCTTATTTAACCATTTTAAATCTAAAATAATTTTTGTATATCTAAGTATTGCACAAATCTATTCTTAAGACCAAAAACATAATATTTATAAATATAATTTTATATATGAGACTAAAAATCAAAGCAGAGATAAATATAAAATCGTTATAGACGAATAGTTAGTCTGAAGAAAAATTTGAGAATATTTATTTATATGAAAATTAATGTAAAATTATAATTGTCCAAATAGACAAATGTTAACTATAGTACATGCAGTACTATAGTATAGTACATGCATAGAACTGTGTTCAGTTGCCAAATAACACAGCATAATCATCAATAGAAAGATAACTGTATAAAATTATAATAGATAGTTAGGGCGGACCAGACCATTGAAATACATATCAGACATGCAAAGAATGGTTCATAGAATCAAATAAGTGAAGGCCTAGATCAGAAGAGTAATCAACATTTCACCATCCATTAGCATTTACATTTTTGCCTTCCCATACATAGCTAGAAAATTGATGGAATGGTGATAAACTGTTCCTTGACTCCTGAGATAAAAGAGGAAAAGCAAATAAAAATTCAGAAAACTTTTCCACACCATTTTCCCGTATCTTTACATAGTCAGAAAATTGTTGGAACAGTAAAAAACCGATCGTTCATTCTCGAGATAAAATAGAAAAAGCGAAAGAAAATTAAGACACTTTTTTATACCATTTCTCTGTTTTCACCTACTTCTACATAACTGGAAAACTGTTGGAACAGTGAAAACCTTATCCTTCATTCCCAAGATAAAAGAGGAAAAGCGAATAGAAATAGGAAAAATTAGTATCTCTCATGCTTCTATTGGTCTGCTTAACAGTTATAAAATGGTTGGAACATTGAAAAACTAAGTATTCATTCCCGAAACACAAGAGGCAGGGTGTATGAAAATTTGAAAAATTTTATTCAGCATTTCTCCATACATCTACATAGCCAGAAAATGTTGGAATGGTGAAAAACAGATCTTCATTTACAAGATAAAAGAGGAAAAGCGAATGAAAAAACTAGAAGTGGAATCATGCAACCATAAATAAGAGTATTTTAATAAAAAGTGTTCCTGATGACTAAAAGAAACTATAAAATGTTTTAAACTCATTTTTCTTTTAGCTTATCTCTAAACCGAGGAAAATCGTGAGTATTTCATTTTTTTATTACGATTACTGTGATTTTTAGATTACACGATTATCATTACAGTGAATTTGATTACGTGATTACGATTACACTGATTTTGATAACGTGATTACACGATTGTAATCGTTTCATACTTTTGCTATATTTATAGTGCTATTGCATCAAGTGTAAAATTGGTCTTTAAGTTTTATTTCCATATGTAGTCATTGATTACAATTTCGCCCATCTTTATATATTTTTATTGATATAACTTGATAGAAAACCAATACCTTAGCAATATCAATGATCATAACATAATTTTTAATTTTGTTTCTTCACTTTAAATATATTACTATACTCTCATACTATGAATTAATCAATGATTAGTAATAACAAGAATGTTTTGTAGTTTAGTAACAATTATTTTTACAACTGTGCTTATTCCTAAAAATAGTTGCAATAACAGAAAACAAAATGTATTATAGATAACAATTAAACTGTATTATTACACTTACACAATTCTTCTTTTGCATCAATTTGTTCAGCATATCATCTAATTTTCCTTTACTTGATTGCTGGTGTGGAGTTTGATGTTGCTGTTGCGATTGTTTTTTATTTGGCATAGAGAAATCTTGAACCTCTTCCATATAATTATTTGCACTTACAGTTTGAGCATTGTTGTCTAAGTTACCACTAGCTCCTTTCAGAGATCTAAAACGACAGGATTTATCAATGATTTTTTTTTAATAAAGAAAAAATCAGATGTCAACTGTTTATATAAGTGACTAATGTTTTTAGTCCTTGCAAAAATATCTCTAACTCACACAAATATTATTGACTTAGTAATTATTCAAGATTAACCATCAAAATAAAATATATTAAAACGATAAAATTGAATACAAATTTATTATATAAACATCTTAATCATATATACATATTTATTATATAAACATCTTATCTCTGTATTATTGTCTCTTATAACAGTCCAAAAGAAATAGATCTAAGATAAGGACAACAGTCCTTCAATTAAAGAAAAGATATCAAAAGACTATGAAATAGAATAGAGTATTTCCTTATTTAATATCCAATTATATTCACCAGACAAATAGGAGACTATTGTTAATGAAATATGATTACTTAATAATGAAGAATTTTCATTTCTATTATCATTTAAATTTTTTTTTTAGCTTGATCAGCTATGCTGAAAATGAAAATAAATATACTGGTCAACAACAGCAAATGAACAAATTTGTATCATTGTATTTGCAGTTGAAAAATGTGATTTGAAAAGACAGAACTAATTTTTAGTCCTATTAGATGTGATTGAGAGGTGGAACCTTGTCATAAAGTAAGTTCATATGTTTAATTATTTAGAAACTTAGCTTCTTTCTTTTTCAACTTTCAGTTTTTTTCATCCACATCTGTCACTCATGCCTGTGTCAATATGCGGATCATGAGATCTTTTAACCCGTGCGCGGGCATGCTGTTGCAGAGACAGCTGGACTGAATTAGGTTTCTTTTGCTCTTTCAGGTACTCTAGGATCTTCACCTCACAAATACCCTCTGCTACCTGATCATTGAATTTTTTTTGGAAAATGTTACTGAATCAATTACTGAAATACAAAATGTAAGAACTATTTTATATTATTATGATAAAATAGCAGGAGCAGAGTAGCTTGGTGAGTTAGGCACTGGGCTGCTAAGCTAAAGGTTCTGAGTTTGAATCTGCCTGATATCAAGTAATTTTTCATCAGCCATGGATCGACCCTCGAATCGGAGACCCACCTGGGATCCCTCAGGCTCTATAAAGTGGGTACTCTTAATTAAATAATTAATTGAGGAGAAAACCTGGTGGTAGACTGTGATCCTGGGCCAATCACCTCCCTGCACAACCGGTGGCCTTGAAACAGCACTTCCTAACTAAGTACTGAACCCAAAATCCTTTATCGGTTGTTAGTGGTACAAAGTTTTTTTTTTAAATTATAAATAGCATAGATAGTCATATTGTCATTCATATTCTTTTCTTTCATTGAAGAGTATCAAGACAGTATGAAGCTGTCGAAGATGAAGACATTCCTAAAGTTCTTAAAGAACCATCTGATGAAGAAGAGAAGACACCAGGTACAGAGATTTTAGTGAGAAACAAATAGAAAATAATAATGACTTGAGTTTTATTGAACAGGAGTGGAGTGGTAGTGATGAAGAAGTATTGACATTGGACATTGGACCAGAAATGTTTCAGATGTAAGGGTAATGTCACTTTATTAAGTGACTAAGCGCCTAAAAGTTCATTATCCAACAGATTAAAAAAAATATATATTGAGGATAAAGGGAGTGAGAAGGCAATAATCCAGGGTCAAAAATATTCCAAATGAACAAATCTGCACACGGATTGTTTTCTTCTACTAAAAAATACATGCCATATAAGTAGAGGGGTGGAGTGGCCTTGATGGCTAATGTGTGTGCACTGCGAGTTGCCTGGATAAAAGATAATTAGATAAAAATAATTATGAATTCATGCCCGGTGTGCTAACTCTGGCGTTAATCCCTAGCCATCAGCCCCTGAGCCGGGAAAACCCTGTATAGCCAAAAAGGCAAGGAAAGGAAGGAAAAAAAAAAAAGTCATGTGGATGACAGAAATTGTTAGAATAATAAATACATGCTTATAATGTGATGAAGGAATTATTGAAAGTGTAGAAAGTGAATAGTCAAATGATTTGTTTAGACAATAGTGTATAAACACACTATATATGTTTTCTATTGTAACTATTATTTTTTTTTTAAACATTATTGTATGTATTTTATAATAATTTAAAAAAAATATATATATACATATATATTTATTTCAGGTTTTTTTTTCCCAAACCCTACCCATTTTATATTTATTAAAAATAAAACATTAATTCTAATATTAATAAAAAATAACTGTTTTTAATTAATATTAAATCTTAATAGATTCAATTTCTTTATTAATTTAAGTGGAAAAATATTTGTTGAACTGTAGAAAAAATAAGTGTTACATTAAATGCTACACGCGCCTTCTCATGTAAGCAGGAATAGCAGACCTGCCCGTGGGCTAACTAGCTCCTTTTCCGGTTTTTGTCGGGTGTTCCCTGGCATATTTGTTGTGGCCATGTTTTATGTAGGTTTGTTGGTATGTTCGTGAATTTTATTATGAAATTTTTTAAATATTGTCCAAATGTGATCTTGTACCATAGGAAAGCGTAAGAACATATAATGTTTAGTTACTGACATAACAGCCTGGACGCATAATAAGTCTTTTAAGCTATTCTGTAGGTTTGTGTATTGTAAGCATTTAGTTTTAAAAAAATTAGAATACAAAAGTGTTGTTCACCAGCTGTACATCAATTTTAAAAAAGGTTTAAGATTCTATTGACCGCCAGAAACTGCATAATATTCTAATCGAGCAGGGGATTAAAAAAAAATTAGTAAATCTAGTCAAGATGTGCTTGACAGAAACACTCAATAAAGTTAGAATGGTAATATTTATCCAAAAAGTTTGAGGTTCCTTCGGGTTTAAAACAGGATATTCCCTTTTGCCTGTCCTGTTCAATTTGGTATTAGAACATGCCATTAGGGAGGTTAATGCGCACTGAAAAAGGATTAGATCTGGGTCGGACAATACCTTGGCTATGCGGATGATCTGGTCCTGTTAAGCGAAGACACGGAAACTATAAAACTAAATACGACAATGTTAATGAAAATCGTAAAGAACTAGGGCTTGAAATAAACCCGGATAAGATGAAATATATGGTTAGCTGCAAAAATGGCGATATTATCGGTGATATTGATATAAAAGGTAATATTGAACATTTGATTTGAAATATTGAACATTTAGAGAAGTTTAGGTATCTAGGGTCTACGATAAATAGAAAAAAACAAAATTGAAGACGAGATTAAGGTTAGGCTGAAGGCGAGAAATACTTGTTATTTTTCAATGACAAAACTACTTAGCTCTCGCCTCTTGTCCCGGAACTTAACAACTAGAATCTATAAAACCATTATCTTAGTTAAGTTCTTTATGGATGTGAAACGTGGCAGCTTACATTAAGGGATGAGCAACGTCTTAAGGTTTTTTGAAAATAAGGTATTGCGTAGAATATTCGGACCGAAGAAGGATGAGTTAACCGGAGAGTTCAGATGGTTACATAACGCTGAATTGTGTGAATTGTAATTGAGATTAATATAATTGAGGTGATCAGCGAATAAAATGGGCTTTTAAAATTGTTGGGCTTAGTAACGAAAGAATTCCTAAAAGATCAATATTTGCGGTACCAAATGGTAAACGTCCAAGGGGTAGACCGAAGCAAAGGTGGGAAGATTGTGTTAAAGTCGATCTGAAGGGACTGGATTGGACGGTTGTAAGGACTAGGGGTGGGTGGTGGGTAGGGTAAGAAGGTAGCAGAAGGAAATTAAGGGTTTGATTAACGAATATCTGCGATTACCATGACATCTGGACACTATGAGGAATTTGACAGCCTCAGAACCCTGGCTTGTGCATGGAATGCACACTTAATTCTGCAGGTTATCAATCTCCTAGAGGTGCTTCATTTATTTATTTTTTTCTTTATCAATCACATGTTACATATAAGGACATTAAATAAGATCAATATCTTTTCTTATGTATAAAATACGTTTCTGCCAACTAAATAGCGATGACACCATTATAACATATTATAACATGTTTAAGCTAAGGTAATTGTAACTTCAAGCATGTAATCAGTATTATGACATTGTTTATTGTAACAATACGTAAATAAATACTAATTAAAAAATAGGTCAATATCATGCACTAAACTAACTTATTATTGGTACTCTATAAAACGTTAACATATGATAGATCATAGAATTAAATATAACAATTGAACAATTAAATTGAATTTTTTTTAATAGTTACCCTGAGGAAAGATCAATTGGAGCCATAGTTCCAGGTGATGATGGTACAGATGGGGTAGATTTTTCAGAAGTTTGATGGTATTTTATGTCATAAGATTGTTGCATTGAAACCATCCTTGGGGTGGGCATGGAACCTTGATGAGCAGGAGGAGGCTGAAGTGCAGTAAGAGGTGTAGATCGCCTTTAAAAAAAAATGTAGTTATTATTTTTATTTATTGTTTTTAATACTTACACTTAAATATAAATTTTAAAACTTTGGTGACACTTGGTTCAAAGAGGCATTTGGCAATAACTACAATCTATCTCGAAAACAGGACATTTTTTGGCTTTAAAATGCAAAACTCAATAGTTACTTTGGAACTATAGCAGGTTTTAATGATCACTGCGAAATCTTTAAAACACTTTAATCCGTCAGGATTTGTTGAAATTGAAACCATCAGGAGTTTTAAAATCACAGCAACATAAGAAATTCATAACAACAGAACGTATTATGATTGTGAAAAACATATTAAACAATTTGACTGAAAGTATAGAAGTCATACTTTGAATTATTTATTAAAAATATCAAAAAGTTTTAATCTATATCGCCTAAAGTGTCCAAGGGATCATATATCTATTCTCCTCCATTTAACTTTTCAACAGATTTTTCTTTGTTGCAGACTAACATAACACTGAACTAACACAAAAAGCAATATTTTAATTTTTAAAGCCCAGATACAGATACATAATAAGTATCCCATAGGAACAATAACACTTGGGTTCCTAACCGGCATTTGGCAATAACTACGATTTATCTCGAAAACAGGACATTTTTGGGCTTTAAAATGCAGGGCTCAATAGTTACTTTGGAACTATACCGGGTCTTAATGATTACGACGAAATCTTTAAAACACTTTAACCTATCTGGGATTTGTTGAATTTGAAATCAGATTTTTAAAATCTCCAGTTTTACGTTTTTTTTTTTTTCAATAACTGTTATTAAAGCTTATGAAAGAATTTAAGGATTGAAATTGCCCTCGCCAACCAAGGCGATCTAACATGTTCCTGGGAATCCTTGAAAGTGAGACTAAAGAAACTATACGGTGGAGAAAGATAGACCCCAGAAGAAGATGTGTTTTATCTATTTAAGGAACAACCGAACCAGGGCCAATCAGAAGGTGTTTTCGCAGAAAAGCTCCTAATTCTTACAATAAATTGACAGAGAGAACAGTAGAAATCTACGGCCAACCAGAGGGAGCACAGAAACTAGAATTCTTGAAAGAAATTTTGAAGGTACAACTGAATCCCTATGTGGATCGTCCCGGTTCACTGCAAAGAGGTCGAGATTTTATTGAGTATGTGATCTCATAGATTCTAAGAAAAGGAAAGAAACGCGCTTCGAGAAACACGATACAGATTGGATAAAAGTGAAATCACCGAGGAGGAAATACAGAAGTCCGCCCAGGCAGGTCAATAAAAACAGAAAATTTGATAGACGGCCGAGCAGGTTCCCTGATGAGAGAAGGCATAAACCAGCCTGATGCAACCTTACGAGATGTTTTGAATGCAGCAGGCGAGGGCACCACAAGGTTAATAACCAGGACTACAGCAACCGAAGGACTGGTAGAAGGAGCGGCAGGTCCTATACCAGCGGATAATTGTCAGAGGAGGAGAGTTCCTATTCCGAGTGCAGTGGTCAGGCTAAAAGAAAAACTGAAGTAACTGGAGAGAATTCTTGGAGGGAGGATCCTTCCTCTTTCCAATAACCAGTTTCTTTTTTATCCTCTCATGACCTAATCCAAATATCATTGATATCCGAGCTCCTCCAATCATACATAGAACCGTAACTTTCCGTAATCTTGATGCCCTTACTCGGGAAAAAAGCTTACCCAACCCTGAAACTGGATTGGAATGAGATATACTCCTGTTCCTCTATTGATTCAATGGTTGACATTCTCACCTACAATCCTCTTAATATCCTTGAAGTCCATGTCCCCTCAAAACCTCTACCTTTCATTGCTGCCCGGCTCCCTGGATGTGTCAGCAAATTAAGTAAACCCTTTAGACCAGCTAGACTTGCTGATGCCTATTAAGCGTTTAGAGTGCTCCACAACCTGACACAAACCAGAATGCGATGAGGCAATCCACTTATTACTATGAAGCCTTCTCATCAGTTTCTGATTCCAAATCTAAATGGCCACACCTTAGTAAACTCTCCTTCTGTCAACCTTACATATCACCTCCATCAGCAGTCTTTCCAGAATCATCTGATGATTTAAATTCATATTTTATGTCTGCTTCCTCTTCCATTCCACCACTAACCTCTTCCTTTTTTTTCTTCTGGAACATCGCTCAATAAGACGACTTCAATTTTTCATATATTTTGCCCACAGACCTTATATCCACTGTGACGGATTCTCATTCTAATTCCATCGATCCAGCTGGCATTCCTGCCAATTTAATCAAATTATGCCTCACTGAAATCCTTTCCATTCTCCTTTTCATCTATAATTACTCCCTTCAGAACTAAGTATTTCTCACTCCTTAGAAAAAAGCCACTGTCCATCCTTCATCTGTCCTCTGTCCCTATTCCCACCACAGTTTTCTGTCTAATCTCTTTTCTCTCTAACCTTTCAAGATCTCTGGAAAGAATAGTGCAATCCTATCTTTTAGTCCCTATATCAATGACCTTCACTGTTAAAATCATCTCTAGAAATGAAATAAAATGCATCTGCTGGTTAATTTTGAGGCAAAAGTTGCTACAACATCCCAGGCATTTACCTAACTTTAATACTTACTTTCAGTTTCTTAAGACTTAATATTTTAGCTAGGTTTTTCACATGCACACATATACTCACAGGTTGGCAAAAAACCACAAGGCCCACTTGCTGGAATACTTCCCCCACTAGCGGATCCAGAATTTAATTTTGGGAGGGGGGAGGAGAGGCTTCAGTTCGAAAGATTTTTTTTTCATATACATATAATTATATTTAATTACATATAATTAATTTGAAAAAAATAAAGAAATTAACTGTAGTGTTTAAGTGGTTCTAGAAGTCCTATTAAATATAATTAAACAAACAAGAATACTTTAAGAGATAGTTTTTAATATTTTTTTCTGTAAAACATGGTTATATTTTACCATTTTGGGGTGGAGGAGGAGACTTCATGACACTCCACCCCGGACCATCTCCTTCCTTTTTAACATTAAACATTTCAATCCTTACTTTATTTTCAGAGGTTGTAACCTTAGTTTAATGTATAAATATAAAATTAATTAATTAATATAAAAATAAATTCATATGGGCTAAATTTCTCTTGTCACAATAATGAATTGTCTTATTACTTGAGTAAAAAATAAAATAGGGCTATTTGGATCTAATGTGTGTTTTTATTATTATAAATAAAGTGAAGTCCTAACCAAAAATATCGAAATATATAAATAAATTAATTTAATTTACAAATGAATGTATTTATAGGTAAACTATGAATGCATATATTATAATTTAAATACAATGAAACAAATCAGTGTTTCTGTCTTTATGGGCCCTTCATAAAACATAACACCCAATTGTATTACTCAGCATTCACAAATACCCGCACGAACGTTAAGGGAAAACAGATTAAAACAGTAATACAAACCTTGATTCTTCGGAGAGAGATTCATCTGTATGATCCCAAGGTGTACTAGGGGAATGCTTCATTGGATGTTGCAGTTGAAGATTTGTGTTGTTCAATAATGCATGCAACTTAGCTGTAAATTAAAACATAAAACAAAACATTATTTAATGTTTATTTGTCTAAACAAAGTATCATACAGATAATCGTAGTGAACCAGGAAAACAAATAAACCAGAACAGTCACCTGGATACAATAAAATTTTAAGTTAAATTTTGTAGAAAAAACTTATCCCTTCAATTATTTTGTTACAGAGCAGTCGGAATCTTAAATCTGCATTGCCCTACAAACTGAAACTATGACATCCCATTAGGAGTTTGTGCTATTTTCATAGCATTTAAATCAATTTTTATATATATATTTTTTTATATAGTCTAAAAGTTCTTTAAAAAATGGAAGAATTGTTTAAAAATAAAAGGTTTTTATAAAATATTATACTGAAAATATTTAACAGGTATTTATATCTCATTTATTGAACTATTATATTTTAATAAACTACAACAGCTAGAAGATGTATTTATGTATATTTATACATAATATTTTCAATTTATTAGGTTAATAAGCTAGTGACACTTTGTTGGCCAGCCACAGAACTAAGTCTATCTTTCCATGTTTTTCTTCTTTGCTTCGTACCTAATAGCTCAGAAAAGGATAAAAAATAAACTAACTAACAAGTTCTTATAAGAAAAAAAAGCCATAATTGAATTGGGAAAGGATACTATGAGCTAAACTGGTATGAGTTATACCAGAAAAGTTTTATAAAACAAAATAATAAACAACAAAACAATAATTTAAATAAACACACCTCTTTCTGTTTCTACATCAATCGCAATATGCCTCTTTCGCTTTGAGCTTGGCAAAGCATGACTTTTAGATCCACCGTGGTCAGTTGTAATAGTTATTACCTCAGAAGGTTCACTATACCCTCGTAAAATGTCATCAACATGTTGATTCTGGTCTTCAGAATATGCTGTAAAATTTTTAGAAACTGGCCATTCCTTATGTTCAACACAATGCACAATATGTTCTAACCGAACTTGAATAGCGTGTTCCTGAAAATAAAAATAAATGAAAATCCTTTTATTAACATAACATATTGAAATATTTATAATTAGAGAACGGATTTTCATGTTATTGTACATTTTATTTCCTTTCGTGTAAAAAAAATATATCTATCAGTTTCAGGATCTGAAGAATAACATATTTATTAACATAACAGATTTATAAATACAAATATATATGCATAATATGTATAAAAAAAGTAAATAACTTTTTTTATTTACTATATTGTTCAAATTAAATTCATTATTCAAGATAGAAAAATATGAGGAAGGTTATAATAGGAAGGAAATAATTCTGTGACAAGCAAAAATCGTAATACATATTACAAAAGGAAGAAGTGAGAATTTTGCAAATTTTGAGTTTTTTACTGCACAAAAATCCGGTCTCTATATATAATCATCTTATATGAAAAAGTACATTTAAAAATAAGTGACAGTAAAATTAAGACCTAAAACAGAATCTAAAATAAATTTTATTCTCTGAAATTAAAAAAAAAAAAAATTATGTTAGTAAACTAGTTAGCTTAAGTGTTGTCCTATTTCATCATTTTAGTACACAGAGTTATTTAAGTGCAAGGTTGACGGGTCTGCTTAGTTAATATCAGTTAATCAAGTAAAATTATCTAAAGTAATCCAAAATTCATAAGATGAATCTAAAATATCAAATGAAGTTGTACCAAACCAAAGATGAATCGCTACTAGTCCGACATTCAATAATTCTTTTCCAAGGCTGTCTCTGTATTCATTATATGTAACTCTTCTACCAAAAAGGCACTTTCCTAATGGCTATGCTTCCATCAGCCAGCAGATCTTTTGATCACCTCGGATCCTACATACATGGCCAAACCATTTCAGCTGTGGCTCCTCAATAACAAATCTTACTTATAATTTGGAAAGGATGGTGTAATTTTTTATATAGTCTTATCTAGTTTTACCACTACTGTTCTTAGATATCATATTTTTCTTCAGAACCATGTAAATTTTTAACTCATACAGAAGAGAAGGTAAGAATACATACTTAAATTGGTGTGGGTCGTCTCTTTGCTCACCTCTCATTTGCTTATCAGTGCTGAAGATACACCATTAGTTTTTCTTTTCTGTTCAATATCTCCTGATCCATTCGCTACTCTCTCTTTTTTACAGTACCCAAGTTTTAAAAATTATCCGTCGCTTCAAGGATTTGTCCAAGGCAGTTAATTGTAAGCTGTTAATCCTTCCAATTTGCATGCATAACCTTTATCTTATTAGGATTTATACTGTGTTCATTTATAACTTTCATATTGTTAGAATATATACAATACACACATGTATAATAGACACAAATACTAGTGTTTAAAGTTTGTAAAAATGTTTTTGTAAATAATAAGCAAGCTAATATAGTTGTACTTAATTCAGAGGATAATTAAAATTGGAAATATGATTGCTTCATTCATAATTTACAATATGACGACTCCATTTTGAGTATCAAGAAACCACTGCCATCTACGAGGAGAGATTTGAATAAGACTAGCATCTTTTACAAATGTTTCGCTTGTACAGTGTAACTTTTTCATAACTTAGAACAACTATAACTAATATCAGGGAGTAGGTTAACCGCTGAGCTTCCAATGCTCAAGGTCCCACGTCGAATCCCAGTTACTTATTCTGTTTCATTGGACGTAGATAGACTTAAGGATCGGGATACCCTCCTGGGGCATACCTAACCTCTATAAAGTGGATAATTAAATAATTAAGAGAGAAAACCTGACGGTTGAGAGTGATTTTGGTCATATCACCTCCTTGCACAAATGTTGACAAGGAAACAGTATCTTCCCTGCACTGCATTGAACCCAAGACCCTTCATGGAATTTTTTCTAAATATTCTACTCCTCAAAATATAGAGACAGTTGTACTTTTTGTGTGCAGCTACAGTAGAGACAAATGTACTTGTTTGTTTCAGCTGCTAAACTAAGCTTTGTATAAATAAGTTTAAGATCAGATATATTACTTTAATTTATTTCTTCTTGTATGAATTTATTTAAATAATCTGTTTATAAGTATAAATTCAAGTATGTATTATTATTTTTTTTTTTGTTTTGTTGTGTATGTATCACTTTTTTGCTTCCTCACTACCGAAGGTAAGGAGGCATTGTATTCATGCTAGGTTAAAAAAGAATTTGTGCTGAGAATTGAAAATTTTCACTCGCATTTTACGTTTCAGACATCAAGGATCAAATTTGATTCAGAGTCTGTCTGTAGTCAAATTGATGTAAAGGGGCATATCACCTACTACCGTTTATCTGATTTTCATGAAATTGGCATGAATTTGTAGGTAATTGTGAAAAAATAATTTAAGGTCAATTTGATTGAATTATGTTTATTGCTTTCTCTTATATACGAGCAAACGTATTTTCCTTGATACGTCTATATCTCTAAAACCGCAAGTTCGATTTGGCTCAAATTTGGAAGGAACTTAGGGATTGGTAAACGCAAAATGAAATAGGCATCAATTTTATCAAATCCTATCTAAGATTCCAAACAAAAATACTTCTGCTTTCATATCAGGAAATGTGTTATTTGATATGCCTATAGTTTGAAAACGGCGATTATACTATATTGAAATAATATAAATAATTATTAACAATATAATGGCTGTGAAATGTGGAAGGCACATCATATGGAGTGGGAGTTAGATTATTACAATATCGTTATGGGCTTATAAAATTTTAGGTTTTATTCAAAAAGTTCATTTATACTGTATCGTGTAGTCGATTCCAAATGTTACTGGCATGACACATATTGCCGTTACATAGATTTCATGTAATTTTCAGTAAATTTAAAGTAATTTTTATTCTGAATTTGTGAAAAAAAGTCTTATTTGTGATTGTGTTTATTGCTATTAAAGTTCAATCAGCTCATCATGGTCTCGATTTTCTGCATAAGTATAAAATATAAAATTATATTCATAAATCATAAAGAAATAATTAGTTTTTATGTTCTCCTGTAAAACACTCAGTTTTTACATACGTCATTTGCACTAACAGTAACGAGATACATATTCAGTATGCACTGGATTTTTTTATTTTTTTTATTATGAATTAGCAAATATTTAGACCTTTTAATACACATATTTTTTAGAAAATAAAAACGGTGAGGAAGCTATACTGACTTTACTTGGCAAACATTTTTATTTTGTAAATAACATTTTAACAGCACAGAACTATATTAACATTCATTGATAATCTGGTCATAATTATAGTTTTAGATTAAATGTATAGTGGTCTCTACTGCACTTTAGTGTTTCTTGGAACTTATGTTATTTTTTTTCCATTTAAAATGATGTAAATAACACTGATCATTACTTTGTTGATGGAAGTTTGTCGATTGTTCTACATATCGTGGGTGATAGTCAGGTAGTAATTAATTTTTTATTGCCAACATCTCAACCTAACTTGTTGGTCATCATGAGAGCATGTTCCAGCAACGAAGGTGTTGAAGTACTGCAAAGTTATCGAGCAGTCAAATATCTTCAGTGCTAGAAACATGCCCTGATGACACACAAATTTGGGTTGAAACGTAAACAATAAAATATTGCAAAATTGACTGGGTCCTGACTATCTATCATCCATTATCATTACCTTACGTTAAGAGGTCCTGTATTTCATATTTATGTCACTAGGTTTTGAAAAAGTTTTATTTTTAATGAGTTAGTGGATATTAATAGTTGTATGAAAAGCACAATTACTAGAATTATGCTGACAAAGTCTGGGTTTGTGAGTTCAAGTATACAAAAATACATTTTTGTATCAACAATTACATAATATTTATCCTTTTAATTTATTTATCAAATCACTTATATTTAATTATGAAGATCTTAAGATCTTAAAAGAAGACTAAACTGCAACTATCTCATAAATGAAACAGCAAGCAGATCCTTGTTAAGAATAGGTAGTTTCTTAACAATTTACTAAAACTTTAAATCAATTTCAAAATTGTTATAATAAGTGCTTGCAAATGTGGGCACTACGAAAATAACTAGTGTAACATAAATAAACAGTACAAAGTAAAAGAAAAAACTAACCTTTGGCCATTTGATAGGATTCTGATAACTATGTGCAATCAATTGAGCTACAGTAGAATCAAGGGAAGTTCGGGGAACTGGTAAGGCTGTCTTATCTGTGACTACAGTTGTATCAATTTCTGGCAATTTTTGCATAACCTCTAGCTCAGGAAACATGGCTTTAAATCTTTCTATACCTTCAACATCTTCAGCTTTAAATGTCATAGTTTCAGACTTTGAAGTAACTTTCTTATTTTCATCATTTACTTCTGTTACCTTAACTTCAGCTTCATTCACATTTTCTGATTTCTCAGTGTCTATTTTACTTAAGTTCTCACTTTCATCAGGCTTTATGAGGCAATCACCTTTCTTTGTATCAGAAGAATTCTGATCATCATTATTACTTGATGCTTCATTATCCACCACAACAGTTTTTTCTTCCTCCTCAGATTTAGATAATTCTTCTGTTTCATTATTTGATTTATTATCCTGGTTCTCCATCACACTTACTTCAGATGAGTTATCTAATTCCATTGCAGCAGAAACTTCTTTGTCAATCAATTTCGTACTGGAATCACAAGTAATTTCTTCATTTTTATCACAATCACCTGCTGTTTCTTCAATGGTTGAATTTTCTTTGGTATTTGATTCTTCATCAGGAGTTTCTTCAATATTACTTTCGGTTTTCTTTTGTGCACTAAGTTCACTACTGATTTCTGATAGTTTTTTACTCGTTTCTTCGGAATTTTCTTCACTCTTACATTCAACATTTTCTTCCTGTTTAACGGCAATTTTTTCTATTTTTAAAGTACCTTCACCTTTTTCTAATTTAACCACTATTTCAGTTTTGTCTGTTGATAAAATATCTTCGGGCCTTTCAAGTTTTACTTCATTTTTCAAATTTATAATATTTCTTTTAGTCACGTCATGAAATGACAGTTCAGGATCATTTAAAATGAAAAAATCAGTTCGTCCAAGACCATGCCTTAAAAAAAAAAAGAAGCAAAAATAATATTAGAGGAAAGTGTTAAACCAAGCTAAATATTAATACTAGAATTGAATACTTATAATGAATTTTATCTTATGAAAGAGAACTTGAACAGTTCTTCTATGTTCTCCATTTATTTATTTCTTAATATAGCATTTTTAAGTCAAATTAAACCTTTTCCATTTTACATTTTCAACTTTTGAATTTTTGTAAATCTTCATTTTTTTTTTTTTTTTCAAAATAAGAGCCACTTACTATATTACTAAAGACCTAGCTTTTGAAAAATACTTTAAAAAGATTAAAAAAAAAAAATTGGTTGGTCCCCTCATACTAGTTTCCAAAGGTGCACATAAGGATGGCTATACCCCGATTCAAGATTTTACTTACCACTCTCTTAGGAGAAATAAGTATTTTCCTCCTTGAATAAAGGAGAAAAAAATAAAAATGTTTATCCAGGTCGGAAATGAATCTCCGGAAATACTAGTCAGAATGTATATGTATAATATATCGTCGGAAAGCGGGAAATTTTAGAAAAAACAATATTTAGTATAGAAGATTTTAGTAGTTGATGGAGAGTGGCAAACAAATTATAAATAATAATTTATAAACTATTTCATTGTATTTGTGTGAAAGAAGAAGTGAAATATAAAAATATTTCATGGATACGTTTATAACCTTAAATATATTTACTGTAGTTTGATAACTCTAGATCTGATATTATATTTAAATAATTAGGTATCTATCGTCCATTTATTCAGAAAAACCTTTTAGAAAAAAGTAATTAGTGAATAATTTGATAAATTTTCCATTTGTGATATTCCAACAGAATCCAGTTACAATCTGTGTGACAACTTTTGACCTGTCTATAACAGGCAAAGCAAATCTCTTAATTCCGTTTTAATAAACTTTGTTAGCTGTAAATGATTTGTTAGTTGTAATCATTAAGCTTTAGCTCAGTTAAAAATGCAATTCAAAAATTGTATAATAGCCCAAGATGGCCAGAAAATAATTTTTATTCGAAGTTGAGCGGTAAGTGAAAGTTGTATTTTTGCGCGCACCAGATTTTTTATGCTTGGAGCCATACAATCAAGTTATATCTTGAAAATAGCTCATGAAACCGAAACATAGAAAACAATAAAAGGATTGTAAAGAAAATGATTTTTTTTTTTGTGATTCTTGGCCAAAAATCATTTAAAAAATAATCTTAATGGCTGCATACAATTTTTTCTCATTGCTTAATTGATTTTTAGAACAACTTGTGAAAACAGAAACAACTCTGAAATATTACTATTTAATAGGAATGATTAGTTAGTTTTATATAAATAAGAATAACTTACTTAGCTACTCCAAGGAGAAGATCTTTGTCGTGTTTCCCAGGAATCCACCATTCAGGAATATCAGCAGATGGTTGACAATAATTTAGCCTTTCATCAAGTTGAGGATGGCACAATGTTTCTTCTCTGATTTTACTTAGCAATGAAATTCTTTCTAGTATCCTTTTGGCTCTATCATCTGGCAGTGGGTCTAATACCAAGTCGGTTGTTTCTTAAATCAAACAAAATAAACGAAAATAGAAATTAGGTTTAAAATAATTATAAAGTAATTATAATTATAGGTTTAAAAGTTATAGAAAATAGAAAAGAGGAACATCTAAACTAGTTTAGATAAAAAAGATGAGAGAAGTATTCAGATGGAGAAACCGAGACTGGAGTAGATTACAGGAGCTTATTAGCTAAAATTAATTAAGCTATTAAAATTGTGATAATGGGTTGAGTGACTATAAACAGAATCCTCACACAATGAAGAAATGATATGCAATGTAGTTGGCTCTCAATAGTTGAAATCCTTGGGATGTAAAAACAAAAGGATACTTCCTTGAAAAGTGAAAACAAAATGTCTGCCAAGTTGGTCCATATAGCTTTTTCACATTTCCTGCTGCTACATATTCAAAAATATGTTAACAAGAAATGTGTAAATGGCAAAAAAACAACAATGAATAAATAACATTATCATATCATAGCAATATCCCAAACCTAGCTCAAACCTTACATTCCATCCTCTTCAGTCTCCTTGCCTAATTACATCCTGCTCCGTCATGACCAGGTAAACTGGACTGGCGGTGGAGTAGCCATGTTTGTCCACAATAGCCTGAAGACCCGAATCCCCGATTGCTCCCCACCTTCAGATCACCCTCAAGTAGAATACCTTTTAGTAGAAATTCTCTGTAATACTTTTCCTATCCTTTACGCCGTGGTATATCGCCATCCTCTTGTGTCATTTGCTCCGTCCTTTCGAATCAACTCTATTCAACTTCGTTCTCTTCTATCCCAGAATAATTATCTCCGGTGACGTCAATAACAATTTCCTCCTAAACTCCAATGATAAATTCTATCTAGAAAATCTATTTTTCTCACTTCATCTATTCATCGTTCCTTTTTCCTCCACCCACCATACCAGCAGATCTGACACTTGGCTAGACTTCTACATCATCAACTCAGAAAAAAACCTCCTCTCCACCTCTCAATTGCCAGTATCCTTTCTTTCATCTAACAATCTGATATAAATAATAATATCCACACTCCTCCAATCCACCCTTAAACTATCACTTTCGGCCAACTGAATACTCTTACCCGAGAAAAAATATTACCTGCTATAGCAGCATTGGATTTGAATGGAATATATTATTGCTCCTCTGTCGACACCATGGTTGATATTCTCACCACTAATCTTCTCAATATCCTCAATACCCACACTCCTCTCAAAATCTCTACCTTTCGTCATCGGCCTGCTCCTTGGATGTGTCAAGAGATTAAGAATCTGCAAAAGAGATGCTCCAACAAGCGAAAGCAACCTACCTTCATGAAGCCCTTTCTTCAGCTCTTGATATTAAATCAAAATGGCATCTGCTTCGTAAACTTTCGCTCTGTGAATGTTCCAGATTCCCTTCCTCAGTTTTCCCAATATCACCTGATGATCTAAACTCCCACTTTATATCTGTTTCCAACTCTTCTTTACGCTCCCCTTCCAGCTTTTCTCCAGAGGTATCATTCATTTAACGACAATAACTTTTATTTTTCCGACATTTCCCCCACAGACCTTACCCGTAATAATGAAATCCTGCTCTGATTCCGTAGGCCCAGATAGCATTCCTATCAAACTAATAAAATTATGTCTCCCTGAAATCCTCCCAGCTCTCCTTTTCATCTACAATTTCTCACTGCAGAATTCAATATCCCCAATCGCTTGGAAAAAAAGCTATTGTCCTTCCTTTAAACAAAAATCCTAATCCATCCTCTCCCAAAGATTTCTGCCCAATATCAATTTTTTCCAATCTTTCATAACTCCTAGAAAGGTTAGTGCAATCCCAAGTTTCCAACTTCCTTGAAAAATTCAACCAACTCGATCCTCTCCAATCAGGCTTCTGTCCTGGCTATTCTACACAATCTGCTCTGATTAAAATTACCAGTGATATTCAGACTGTAATAGATCACAAAAAACTAACTGTACTTATACTTCTTGATTTCTCCAAAGCCTTCGACTCCATTATCCATTCCATCCTTTTCAACAAACTAAAATCATTATCCTTCTCCAATAGTTTTCCTTTCACAACGAACCCAAGCAGTTTCCATACCCAATATCAACCACTATCTGCCTACCTTCTTTTATCTTCTGGAGTTGCCCAGGGTTCAAGCATGTCTCCTCTTCTTTTCAGCTCCTATATTAATGACCTAAATGATGCAATCATCCATTGTTCCCACCGCCTTTATGCCGACGATTCTCAAATCTATCTATCCTTTTCTTCCGTTGAGTTATTGGTAGCATTTGCCAAAATTCAAGAAGATTTAGATCGAATTAGTGCCTGGGCCAACTTAAACGGATTAAGGCTAAATGCTGCTAAAACTCAGGCCATTCTCATTGGTTCCAAGCCTCTTCTTAGATCACACACTCACTTTTCTTCACTCTAAACAACCACCCCATCACCTTCTACTCCTTTGCTAAAAATGTATACTTTTTCATAGATCAAACCCTCTCCTGGAATCACCATATCCCTCATATTTCCTGTCGTGCAATTTCTACCCTCATACTATTCCATCACTTCCGCCATATACTACCCCAAAATACCCGTAGAATCCTAGTTTCCTCTCTCATCTTTCCCCATTTTGACTACAGCTGTGTGGTGTACGATGGCCTCATGGTGGAACTCCGTGATAGACTGAAAAGGCTTATGAATAGCTTCGTAAGATTTGTACTTGGGAACCCGAGACGCTCCTGTGTCTCCCACCATTAGGGTGGCTCTTCCCCTCCTTAAGAAGACAATATTTCCTAGTCACATTCCTTTATCAAATCATTAACGATCATAGTCCTTCCTATCCCTACAACCTTCTCCAATTTAAGTCCTCAATCCATTCCCTTACCACAAGACCTCGACCTTCTGACCTATACATTCCTTCTCATAGATCTGTCTCATTCCAAAACTCCTTTATAGCCCGCTCTGTCAGCTTTTAGAATTTCCTCCAGATCAAAATTCGGCTTGCCGCCTCCGTACCCATATTAAAAAACCTCCTATTCCAATTCCTGTTCCAAAAAACAGTCAGATACCAGCTAACTATTAACACTATATATTTATTGCGTAGCAATCTTATAAATCATACGATAATAATTTGTAAGAGATAGTACAGGTATTTTCTACTTTCAACGTAGGAATTTCAATATATATATATATATATATATATATATACAAGACAAGTAAAGTTTTTTTTATGATATGAACTTATTCTATCATTATATATAGTTTTGTTCATAGTTTTAAGTGATTTTTCATAGTTTTAAATGTTGTGTACATAGTTTTATCTGTATTGTATATAGCTGATTCACCTAAGGTTTTCTTTACTTTTTAGTTTATTTTATCAATTTTATTTATTGTTTCAAACTTTTAGACCATCAGTATTCTATTCATTTTGTACAATTATGTTATTCTAAAGGGACTTAGTCCCAGAACAAAATTTTTTTTTTCTATCTATATAAGCAAAAGTAGTAAAAATTATTCAATAACATTGTTACTAAACCACTTTCTTAAAATAAAAAAATTTCCTCTTACTTTAGACCAAATCAAACAAGCCTGTTTTGAAATAGAAGAAATCGAGGAAAATACATTTGTGCTTACATAACCTTAAATATCTATTGAATGGAATTTGATAATTGATGGGACCATCTAGGTAACATCCCATAACATTCCCAAAAGATTTAATCAAATTTGGATTACAGGTAGGTGTTATGCTTATAACATGGATTAGACTTACAAGAGGCAGGGTAGTCAAGAGGAGGACTAACATGTGAGCACAGCACCGCACGTTGCCCAGCAACCTGATAACCGAAATTATAGAAGATAAAATAAGTACAAGTTCGTGTCCCAGTTCCTGAAGGGGGCATTCAACTCTAGCACTAATCCAATCCCCCGAGCTCAACCTCTGGCCCGTAGAAACCCATATAGCCTAAAAGGCGAGGAAGGGAGAAAAAAAAAAAAAGAGCTAGACTTACAGACAGACAGATGACATGGAACCTAAGTCATTCCTTGATGTATAAAACATATATGTTATAACGAGAGTGGAAGTTATAGATTCTGAAGTCAAAACACTTTTTACTTCTTACACCAATAATAATAAAGCTTCCCTACCTTCAGTAGGACAAAGTAAACATTTATTTAAATACTAATATGACTCAAGTGTATCAACTTTTTTCTTCTTTTATTTTCATTATAAATGTAAATGAATGTGTTTGAGCATTATATATTGGGAAAAAAAAAAACATCGATGTCAGGCTCCAAATTTGTTATAATTAAAGAGTAGAAATTGTAAATATTGAAATATCAATAAAAAATAACGATACTTCATGCCTCCATTATTTTAATCTTTAGAAGATGGAAATGACTGTTAAAATGGAAATAACCCATTTAATTGAAAGAAAATTTATAAATTGATTAAAATTGAAATCAAAATAAATGATTGAAATTTAAGAAAATTAAAATAAAATTATATTCAAACCATTACCTTCTTCAGCTGTTGGTTTTATACCACATATTCGTTTACACATTCCTGAAAAAGCTAAATAATACTCGGTTAATGAATCATCAAATTTCTTATCAAGTCTTGACAAAGCTCGAAATTTAGTCCAATCAAATTTCTTTTTCGCCCTAGAAAACAAGGACAAAAGCATAAAAATACAAAATAATATTATAATAGCAGATACATATATAATATTATAGTAATATATACATATATAAGATCATGGTAGATATATAATATTAAAGAAGTAGATACATAAAAATCTTTACCACAACCCAAGAAGGATCTTGCGGTGTTCAGTACTTTGAAAGAAAGCAGTTTCTAAGCCAGTGGTAGGCAAGGAGGCAATTTGAGTCAACCACTCACTTCCCAACCACCTGGTTTTTTCAACCATTAAAAGTGCCAACTTAATGGAGATTAATTGATAATGAATATTCTGAAGTAATCGGAATGTAAATTAAGTAAACAATTTCAAAAAAGTCACATTCAGAGGAATAAATGATAGGATCGACTTTTCAGCGAAATCAACAGAACTTTTAAATAAAAGTTCTGAAAAACTTTAATTGAAAATTTGCAAGGGAAAACGTTCTAGTTCCAAAATAACAGAAGAAAATATTCCAAGATAATAGAAAAAAAAAATTGATCATAAAAATACCAGTCATATCAAAACTGTTTCTGCTCAAGGTCCTTATCGTGTTGATAAGACAATTTTAAACGATAGTTATACAAATACTTTCTGTAGAAGTGTGAAGATTAAAGGCAGCTATGAAAAGGTAGAAGCATCAACAGAGAGTAAGCATAATCTTGGGAATCAGAACTTATTCCAGTCCTATGGAAGCCGGATTTCATTTCATAGTAGGGATGTCTTATATGGCGTTTTTAGTTACTGCATCTATTACTATTTATATTATAAAGGAGGTGTGGATGAATTGAGAAGATGGCAAATTTCAACAAAAATTATTTTCGGCTTAAGTAAAAAATATTTGTTTCTGTTTTTTTTTTTATAACTTTGATTCAGGAAAAAAAGAAAGAAAATGAGTCAATGTTATGAAATTATTTTAATTTTGAAGTATATTACTTATAATATGATTACGAAATATTGACTTATATTGAGGGAGGGAAGGTATGGTAGGTGAAAGCATACCCTTTCTGACTAAATCCTAGTCTGACTCTGGTTCATCATAATCATGATAGAGTGTTACTATAAACACTTTAATTTACAACACTCTTTACAACAGATTGCAATAAAACATGATTTAGTATGCATATTAACTTTAAAATTCTAAAATGATATAAATTAATCTATTGATATTCCTAGAATTGAATAGTTATTCCGTTTTGGATCTTAATGTAAATTAAAGTAAAATCAAATCCACCACAATAGCTTTAAACAAATTTACCTTCATTGAAATTTATTAAAAGACGTTTGCTTGTGAGTCGTCTTACGCATGGTTGACCGTGATATAATATGAGAATGAGTAGATCAAGGGGGGGGGGGTGCAGTCAAATAAATACTAAGTTATAGAAATAGTATTATTTAATTATTATGCCGATGTTTCGACCCACTTGCAGGTCTTCATCAGAGCTACAAAATATAAAAGGTACATGTTGAAAATAAAATAATAAATAATTTGTTAACCTTTAGTCCCACTATCTGTTTACCTACAGTTATCAAATGTAACCTCCACTAGCTTGTTATCCACTGATATCTTATTATTATGTTATCTTATTCTTATTTTAGCTTTACTATATCAATACTTATTCAACTTTCAATCTCTTTATTCGTTAAAATTCATTTTCTTTATATGTTAACCTACAGTTATCAAATATAATCTTTATTAGTTTGTTATACACTCATTTCTTATATTTCAACACAATCTGTTTACTTTTAAACTTACATACTATATCCTCCTTTGTTTTCTATTTTTGTTTGTATCTTCTATATATATAATACTTGATATTCATTGTCACCCACTTATTATTTCTTTATCAGACAACTTTTTCTTATTTAATATCTACTTATTATTCATTTATTTTATTTTCACCATGAACCTTTTATATTTCGTAGCTCTGATGAAGACCTGTGAGGTGGGTCGAAACGTTGGCATAATAATTAAATAATACTATTTCTATAATTTAGTATTTATTTGACTGCACCCTCCCTCCCTCCCCGATCAACTCCTTCTCATATTAGTAATTGAATTTTCAAAACTTCTGTGAGGATTTCAGAATTACAACTTAGCTTTGGGACAGTAAGTTAATAATTTATATTTTGAAGAAGGTATCAAGCAATTTAAATTTAACATTAATGACCCACATTAACATAATTCGATATGCAACACATAGACACACATATATGTAGTGTAGTAACATGATTGCACATGCAACCAATAGACCATAAAAATACACATTTTTCATTTGTCAAACGCTCAAAAACCCTGGACATCAAAATTATACTTTATATGAAAATGAGTAAAATAAGTAAAAACTTAAAAACTCACACTAAAATAAGTAAAAAACTTGTTTTAACAATACCAACAAATTTATTTAACCATATGTATATATATTAAAAAGTAATAATAGAGCAGGTAGATCTAAAACACATACCTATCATATTCTACTCCATAAGTTGAAATAGTTCTCAAAAAATCTTGTTCCTCTCGTTTAGACCATTTACGTTGACTCATTTCTTGTCTCTGTCTCTCTCTTTCTTTTACAATTTGTTCAAATTTTTCTCTTCGCTCGATTTTCTAAGTTAATAAAAGAATAAGTAGAAAGGATTATTAAAGAATAACATAATATACATGAACAAAAAAATATTTCATATTAAATCATAGACAAGATACATCCATCCAAGTTGATCCAAAATTAACTCATTGATTAGAATACTATATATATATAATACATCCTAGATTATAAATATCCTAAGAAGGTATAGTTTATTGCAAGAAGTAGTGGCATTTAAATAATAGAGAGCAACAATTTATACTTCAGCTCAAAACCATATTTAATATTTACGAATATGAATTTGTCTGATGGACATAAAAATATATGAGAGGATTGAGTAGTTAATATCTTGGCTTAAAGAGGTGGCGGCTCATTGCTCATTCGCCAAGACTGCAGACAACCACTGGCTCTCTATTTGGGGGAACAATACACTGAAATTCAGTTGCAGTACACTACATAAACCTCCAACTACATGCGAAGGTCACATGTATTACATACCCTAGGAAGCCACCCTGGATGGGTGAGCAGGTCAGGAGGTTTAGAGGAGGCAGCCCTTCCACTTACTCAGGGGCAGTAGGCTAATAACCTACTCCATCTAGATTCAGTTTATCCAAAAATCTCTAAAAAGTCATGAATTCAAACTATGTATGTTGATTGTGATAATTCCTTCATAAATTATTTGTAAGTAATTTATTATCTAAAATATTCAAAAAGTAAAAATTTACTAGAGAAGAAATCAGCCCCGTTTTAAGTATTAGTAGACAACACCAAAATGATTTTAGTCATTCTAATACAAAATTATTACTATGACATAATAATAATTTCCCAACAAATAAAAACTATACAATGAAATTACTAACCCATAAATACATAGCCAGTTGGTGCCAATCTCCTCTAGCTGCCATTAGGGTAGAAATATCTAAAGCATTTTGGCCATCTCCAATGTTCAATGCTTGCTATAAAGATATATCAAACATAAAAATTTATATTTGGTAATTCATTATTATATCATCAATACAATGACAAAGCAGCTTAACTGAAAATGTGTAGAACTGCAAAAATTGGTTTTGAAGCCAAGGTTGCATAAGTAAGGTAGCTAATTCCTTAATAAAATTGGCTGCATCATGTTAAATTCAGCTTGCATAATTCTTATTTTGTTATTATTCAATGTGATTAAAAAAATGTCTGACAGAAGATCAAAAACCCAAGTATGATAAAATTTGTAGATATGTCACATTGGCATTTTATTTATGATATAGTATTCAGTTGTAAAGGTCCTTCATCCAAAATTTGAAAAATTTAGAAATAAAATATAGTGAATTTATAAATGGACAGATGTTTAAACCTTAAGGTATGAAGCAGAAAATTTGACTAAAGAAACATCTTTCATTTTTTAAATTAATTTTTACTCTTAAATATATTTAATAAAATTGATGTTTACTTCCACTTACCTATATATGTAGTATATAGTAAGGGAAAGTATTGTGATTGTGAAAATTTTCGAATCTGAGTTTTCAATGGAAATACCTGTGTTTTGAGATTCCCCCGAGTCAAAATAACAAAGTCCTACAAAATGGTCTATGTGTGTGTGTCTGTGTCTGTATGAACAGCCTTGCTCAAAAATGGCTTTCGGGTTGAATCCACCCAAAAAGATAAAATATAACTGTTTTATAGAAAAAAATATTAGAAACTATCTCTTAAAAAATATTATTGTTCATGTAATTACATTTAATAGGACTTCGAGAATCACTTAAACATCGTTTCATATAGGTAGTTCATTTCTTTCTTAAATTATCTATCGTTATATGTATGAAAAAAAATCTTTCAACAAAAAATCTTGAAGTCTTGCAAAATTAAATCCTGGATCCGCTAGTGTTCTCTGAGTCCAAATAACTAAGTACCACAAAATAGTATGTGATCAGTCTAGTTCAAAAACAATAAGTTGTTGTGAACCTGAAATTGTGAATTTAAGGTTTGTACATGCCTGGGATGTAACAGCAACTTTTTCATCAAAATCGGCTAACTGGAAGTGCCACTTCATATTATCGATTTTATATATTTTTATAAATTTCTCGAAAACAGCTCTAAGAATTTCGATTAAATTCATTAGACCACTTTAAAATTAAGCGGTTTTTAATATAACGTAGGTTCAATTTTTTTAAATATTGTCTTAAGTGTTTAAATGTTTTGTTTCCAATTTTTTTTTCTTTTCAAGTACCTTTAACTTTTTTTATTTGAAATAAATAACCATTTCACATTGAGAACTGATATAAAAAACGGTTAAATATAATAAATTATGAAAATTTATTCGTAAATTAAGGAGAAATAAGGGTTGGAAGCTATACAGAAACATCTAAGAGCACCTGACCTTTGCCGATCCTCTTCGTTAACAGATACCAGATACTCCTCACCCCTCTGTACAAGGCTTTCATATTATTAATTTAAGGCTTTCATATTATTAATTTAACTTTTATATATCACTTATCCATAATTTTTCAAATAGGATTCATGAAAATTTTTAGGATCTACTGATATAAATTCAATAATATACAATATTTACAAACGTTGAGTTATTTTTTCGATGATTGTCGTAATAAATGTTTCTGATAAAACTCAGAATTATTCCAAAAGATTCATTTTTCCTCACATTCATTAGTAATATTCAATACTAAACACAGTCGTAAAAGGAAACGGGAAGTGATGAAAACGTATACATTTAACATGTAAGATATGAGAGAAAAACATGGTAATTAATTGTTTTAAATGAAATTATACCGTCGTTTTCACTTTGACTTCCCTATATATGAAATCAACTATCCAATCTAAAGTTGGTAAGTGAAAAGTGTGTGATATGCACCGCACCACATTTTTTCTTTCATATTCTATAGAAAAAAATTGATCAATTGGATTAAATACAAATTGATAATCATAATAACTGCTAAGCAGAGTCATGCCAGAATAAAATGTCAACAATTATTTAAATTAAATTAAAAAAAAATTGTTCAGCCCCAAGAGTGCATTGATAAGAGTCGTCAGATATGTGCCAAATATTTTATGACCTGATTGATCAAAAAAAATTTCATTATAATCAGTGATCCTACTTCAGTAACTCATCTTCTCACCTTGTAAGTCATGACAAAATTATTTTCTATAACAGGAACATCTCAGGTGACAGGCTAAACATCTCTTCCTATAAATACTTCTGAAGAGACTATAAACCTCATAAAAGGGACCATTACTAACTGGAGGGTTCCTCAAAATTTAAATCGGTGAACTCTTTTTAGAGGAAAAAATCAACAGAAAATAAAACACTTTCCTAAAGATATGAGGAATTTAGCATATTCTATGAAACTTAACTATCATTAATTATAGAAGGTGCTATCAAAAATAAATACAGACAACTTACTTTTGCTTTTTGAGCTTGTTTAAGCTCTTCTTTTTTGAAATTTCTCTGATAGGAATTAATAACTCTTCTCAGTCTTTGATTAAGATCACCCATGGAAGGCCACTGAGGTTTAGAGGGATCTTCATCTCCACCTTCTGCTCTAGCAGCACTTCCTGGTGGTTCTTCTGATGGATCCCCTTGAGAAATGTCGTCGCTAATTCCAAGACCAGTAGTTTCAGACTCGTCATCTTCATCGCTCAACTTGCACTCCATTCTCTCCTCACTATAAAAAAATTAAGTCATTAGGAAAGAAATTTAATAAATATATTTCAATACTGGTGAGAGCAAATTTATTTCAACTTACAGTAAAACTAATTGAATGCACAAAAACAATATTACTTAAATAGCAACTAGAATTATTTAAGGGCAAGATATGTAAAATGCTGTACAGAGAAGACTATTTTATAGAGTCAAGAGGAAACATAATTAAATATTTATAAACTAATCTCATTCATTAACTAGTTTCAAAAAGTATCAAACAAAATCTATTCTTTGCCAATAAACATTGAAACGGCTCAGCTACTTTGAGTTAGTATACTAGTGCAAATTGAGTGCTGAGGATAAATATAATGACTAAACATTTTCTTCAAATAAGCCATGAATGTTTTACTCAACTCTTGGACTAATACTGCAGTACCTCTTCCACCTCTTTTTCACCATGTTAGAGCATTTTTAAGCATTCTTATTGCAGCAAAGGGTTCGCTACTTTTATTTTGTCAGATGTAAAACACAACAATTTTAATAGTGATAATAAAAGGCTTAGCAAACCTTTGTGGATGAAGGTAGCATCAAATCGTATTTGTAACTGATAAGGTTGTTAATAATTTTATTAAACTAGGTAAATTGTATGAACTACCAAAATAAACTAAGTATATCAACACCTAAGGTGATTACCGGTCGCTGTACAGTTATTATTAACCTTTTAGGGATTCTTTCATTACTAGGAACAACAATTTAACACACTCATATTATTATTATTATTCTCCTCAACCTTATCATCTCAATTACATCAACTGAATATAGTTCACGTAATTCTGTATAGTGTATCCATCTAAATTTTTCGGTAGACTCATCCTTCTTCCGTTCGAATATTCTACGCAATGTTTTAATTTCATAAAACTTCAAGGTTATTTATCCCACAATGTAAGCGGTCAAGTTTCACGTCCATTAACAACCGTAGGTAGGATAATGGTTTTGTAAATTATAATTTTTAAGTTATGGGACAGGATGTGAATGCTAAGTAGTTATGTCCTAGAAAAATATCAAGTATTTTCTGCCTTCAACCTAACTTTAATCTCCTCTTCAATTTCATTTAATCTAGTTATCATAGACCCTAGATACCTAAACTTTTCTACATGCTCAAACATATTCCCTTTTCCAAACATAAAACAATTTTAACACATCTGATTTTCTCTTTGGATACAAGCTAAAAGCTGTAAGTTTGATCATTTTCATATTTATAGTTCATCTAGTTGGTAATCTAGAATTTGTATGATAGAATTGATGTATTGAGAAGACAATCTGGCATACTTGAAGTGAGTGAGTAAATACCATACATAAGGGTTTTTATAGAATTTGGATTCATATCCTATTCTCATATTCTAAAAGCTCAAAGTGCTTCCAGAAAATAATTTATGGTATATTTGATAAAAGGGCATTGTTTCTTGGTCAACTCGACAATTTTTTTTTATCACTGAAGCAGATTTCAAGTTTTAAATTCCTATGACATGAAACTTATAAAAGCAAAATATTTAAAGGTTTTATTTGAAAAGAATAAAAAATTTTACCCGATCGCAAAAAAGAATGTAAATGGTACTCATTTCAAACAAAGAAACTTTTCTAGAAATACAAATATCTGTACTGTATAATTTCATTTTCACTTATTCCAAAAAATTATATAATTTTTGAAGTGCTCGTTACATAGTTAATCAGCAAATGTTATCACTAATACCTTAACAGTAATTCATAAAAATAAATGGTGAAATAATAATAATAGAATTATTTATTTATGGAACAAACAATTAGGTATTTTTCTCTGATAGTATTATCTCAACAATGTTCAGTTTTATTACTTTCACTTACCTTAAGGTGACCAGACGTCCCCTTTTTTAAGAATTTGTCCCACTTCATGGCACATCATAAAACAGTCCCGATTTTAGGAAAGAATGCACAAGTTAGGAAACGGATGAAGAATAAAAAGAGAATATATAGTTTTCGGCGGTCGTATGGCTGTTTTGTCAGGATATAAGTTTTATATTATTTTTATTAATTTTATAATGTTAAACATTAATAATATGAAATAATTGTTGAGAACTGCTTATCAAATTTCACATTGTTGATAAGTTGTTAGAATTTGACCAATATTGTTTGGACTTGATAAACAATCCAAAAATGCTCAATTTAATGAGTTATCATTATCAAACAAATATATAGATGAAAAGGATAAATCTTGGCCATTAGGAAGTTAACTTCATTTACTACTTCGATTACAGAAATGTAGTCACCTTTAATAAGTTTTATAGCATTTTGAAAAAGAGCTGCTTGATTATGAATAAACTGCTGGCACTAAACAAATAGATCATAAAACGTGTTATTATTGCAGTCATAAATTGGACATAAAATTATACACTCTCAAAAATGCGTCTTCGGAACTAAATTTTCAACCTTGTTGTTTTTTCAAACGTTTTTCTTTTTCCTTGCCTGAATATATTTATACCTGATTACGATTATATAAAATCTGAACCAAATTTTTAATCATCAAGAACGTCCCCTCTCCTCTCCACCAGGTCAATTCTGTTGGCAAATAATCCTTTCAGTTTTTCTGTTTATTTTTATGTCACTATGATAGACTTCTTTTTTGATGAATTAATATCTAAGGTGGATTGTTTATCCTCTTTGTAATATGTCAACAATCTATTAACTCTTGTTAAAACGAGCTTGGTATTGTGTTTGCTATTGCACTGTGAATATGGAAGAAAATATCATTCATTATTGGCATATTTTGTTGTATTATTTTAAAAAAGATTAACATCTTGTAGAATCTCATAGAAAAATTGGCATATGGGGATGATGCCCTAACCAAACACAGCTGTCAAAATTGGTTTGCCAAATTTCATTCAGAAAATGTTGACATCAATGATGCTCAATGGTCTGGTCGCCCACATGAAATTGAAACGAGCAATGTTAAGACCATTTTTAATCAGAATCCCACTCAATCAGTGCGAGAGATTGCTATGGCCCTAAATGTGTCACACACAAGCAAAAAAAAATTATTTGCACAAGCTCAGCTATATTTTCAGGCTTAATATTTGGGCCCCTCACATGATATTTTTTTCAAAAATCACAAAAAATGTGACTTTAATCTACAAGAAATTTAGGACAACATAAACTACACAAAATTGCATCAACAGAACCTTCGTAAACAATCTACAAATGGAGATAAAATAATAACCTATAAGGAGTTTTTGTTTATTTATTCCTTATGTAGGTATTAAATCAAAAAACGTTCAAACGGCTTTGAAGAATAATAATTCAGTTTTCCAACGGATATAGTAACATTGAATTTGGAGAACATTTTGAAGAGTTATGAATGATCAGATGGGTGTTGTGTTCCACCAAGATAACGCTAGGCCCCACACCTCATTGGTCACTCGCAATAAATTATTGAGCCTTGGATTGGGATCTTTTGCCCCACCCTCTCTATATCCCTATTCACCAGACCTAGCTCCAAGTGACCATTACTTATTCCGGTCTCTACAGAACTCCATGAATGGAAAGAAATTATAGAAGCAAGAAGACATCAAAAACCATTTGGATTAGTTTTTAACAATAAACTCCAGAATTCTATGAACATGGCATTATGCAGTTAATGGAAAGATGGGAAAAAGTCATATTAAATAATGGTCAATATATTGTAGATTAAAATAAATTTTATGTCTATAATACATTGTTTTATTTCATCCTGAAAAATCGAAAGGACTTATTTGTCAACCCAATATAGTAAGAGAATATATTGAGATTGTGAAATATTTAAATCAGAGGTATATTCAGAGTTACACATTTTAAAGTTCCCTGAGTACAAATAACTAAATCCCACAAAATAGTCTGCACGCATGCGCACATGTGTGGGTGTGTGTGTGTAGGTGAACAGCCTAGTTCAAAAATGAAAAGTCGTAGGAAACAGAAATTATGTATTTAAGGGAGATATATGCCTGAAATATTTTATTAACTTTTTCCCCCAAAAATCAATAAACCAAAACTGCCACTTTATATCATTCATTTTACACATTTTTATCATAAATGGCTACAACAATTTTGATTTAACTCATTACATCAATGAGCAATTTCGCGGTCTTTCAAATTATCCTGGTCTTATCCTTATTGAATAGTGTGACAAGGCTTAAAGTTCAAAATAAAAATATTTTGTGCAGTTTTTCAGAAGAGTAAAACATGTTTATAAGCTCAAATAAAATTATTGTGGTTAAATAACTTAAGATCTGATAATATATATGCACATAAGTAGGTATATATCATTGGTTCAATCTGAGTCATTAATATACATTTAAAAAAATTAAATCAGTGAATAATTCAATGAATTTTCCTCTCTTTGAACCACAACATTAGGCACTTAGAGTGACTATCTTTGAATTAAGGCTTTGATTGATAGGAAATGAAAACCAAATAATTCTATTTTGGTAAATTTTATAAGGAAAAAAAAAGAGTTTATATGTGTGAGTGTACTTTTATTGAGCTGTATGTGATTCAAATAGACTAATAGAGTTTTGAGGTTTTCTCCACTGCCTACCGCCCACATAATAAGTATGGTTTGTGTTATTTTTATGGTCTTAATGTTAAATAAATAAAATAGATTTTAGTATAATGATTTTATTTAAAAAAAATTGACAGTAAAAATGAAAAGTTAAGTGAAGAAGTCAAAATAAACTGTTTTATTGTCTTTGAATAAAAGTATCCAATTTTTCCATCTTCTCCATCTAATGAATTCCTTTCTTAATAAAACACATTTCAAATCTTCTTATTGTAACATTACAGAACAATTGAAGCGAGTTAATGAGCCAGAAACATAGGATATAGTATCTACTCATGAATATTTCAACTAATCATAAATTAAGCTCCTTTCATTATGAAGCCATTCATTTTGTAAGTTTAATTTTTGCAAAATAAAATCCGGTTAAAAACAAATCTAAAAAGTTGTTAATAATTTTT